ACTGCTGAATTATATCACCATCTATTGGATGATTACTTTATTCTTTTTACTCTTATTATCGTATTTTGATCGTTGTTTCGTAAATTCTTATGTTATTAATATTTTTTGTATTGTTGCTCGTCTTCTAATGAAATCCAGTTATCATTCTTCATTTACTGCTGCTGTTTCAAGCTTTGGTTCTGAATAATACATTCTCTGGTGATTCTTTTATTCCATGCATTGATTTTTTTTGCCTTCTTTATTAATTGCGGTCCATTACAATGTTCACTGTTTACTTTCATGGGAAGGTTTTATGATCATTGACTATGATACATTTCTAGATAGTTGTTTATGCTCTCTTATTTGTGTATGAGTACATAGTGTTCTGTTTTATTTGTTCCTATATTTTTTGTATTGCATTTACCATTTTCTTTTATTTCACATCATTATTGTTATTTCTTTTTTCTTTTTTTTAACAGTTCTTCTTGATTCTCTCCTACTGTATCCGTCAGAAAAAAAAAGTTGGTACTTTATAGCTTATGACAGAACGAAGAAAGAGGGTATGTGCATCGTTTTTCGTTTGTACGAAGGATGTTTTTTTTTTATTCTAATATATGATTGGATGGAAAGAAATAGTAGATTTGAATATATATTATTATGTAAAGGTACTACAGAATAGTTAAACATATACTTACTGATAAGGTAATGATTAAATCGTGTTCAATAATTGCTGAATAATAAACTCTTAAGTGGTATGTAGTATTCACCGAAAATGTTATAATATAACTCTTCAAATTTTACTATGTCTTCTAATAAGCGAAGCAAAATAAAGAAGTATTGTGAGGAATCATATTGGGAAGAAAACACGAAATGATGACTTTTTTTAAAAATTTTTTTATTTACATTGTACTAGGAAAAAACTGAAACATTCGTTGACAAAGAAGTTTTTCGGTAAAACATGTACTTAAGCATATTTTAAACGTCTGTTGTTTTCATGGCTCCTGACGGGTATTCATGCACATTTTAATTCTTATTCTTTTATTTGCATATATCAACAACATCATTGAGTGTCCAGCAGTCGAAGACATATTTTTGACAATATGTTTTATTTTCGTAGATTTTGACTTCAGTCACCTTCGTTTATTAGGTTATTTATCTACTTCATCATTAACCGATTACGATTCAAGATGGATAAATTTGGGTATTTAAAGGTTTATTGTCATTATAATTCAAGACAAAGACATCAGTATGCTTCCTATGCATACGTGTAAGAAAATTTGGAGTAATAATAAATATATTTTCACGTAAGTATGTAAAATAAAGCGTAATGCCTATCATAATTGCCTGCAACAACTCAATTTTCTCTCTGATTCTATTCGATCAACATACCGAGTCACGATGAAAAAATCAAGCATGCGAAACATAGAACAAGCTTCTCTCTGAATGCAGAATTTCTTATTGCCATCGACACATCTTACATTTCGTATTCGTTCTATATTGGCATGATTTTGTAATGTTTTACTTTCCTTCGTTCTTGTTCTTCATATAGATACAGCAAAATACCACTCGATCGCATGGAATTTGTATGTCTGTTCGTAAGTTAGAAATGCAACGAACAAATGACATATGTATCTATTGTGTTGTTCATTTGGCAATATTACTCATTTGATTGGTTATTCTGAGACTCTTGATTATAGTTGTTTTTATTTATGGATGTTTTATTTCAATTTTCTATATGCGATAAATTGTTTTGCTCTGCAAGAGCACTGAAATAAAAACAAAAAGCCACTCTCTTTTATGTTTTTACCAACGACTACTAACCTGTACCAATATGACTCAGAATACATAGTAAGTTATTCTGTTCTGTTTATCTTCAAACAAGCAGCAACGACATTCAAGCACTTGAAAAAAGTAGTTACTTTTGAAGGAAACACTTCCCAAGCAGACAAACTTTTGAAAAAACGCGTTTAAACGTGCAAAAATTTGCCTAAAATCGGCAAAAAGTGGACGTTTTTGGCTCACACTCGCGGTTTCCGACAGTAAGCCAAAAATGCCCAGTTTTTGCCTTTTTTGTGCGTTTAAACACGTTTTCAGACAAAAAAACGTGTGTACACATATAGGAAGAAGAGAAAAAATGGTCGTTTTTCTCCATACTCGACATGAATAATCATGATTATAGTCATGATTCACGAGTATGAGAAACACTATCACTTTTTCTCTTCTTTCTATGCGTGTATACGCATTTTTTGTCCGAAAACGCGTCTAAACGCACAAAAAGGGCATGAAATGAGCGTTTTTGGCTAACAGTCGGGAACTGCGAATGTGAGCCAAAAACGTCCACTTTTTGCCGATTTTAGACAAATTTTTGTGCGTTTAAACGTGTTTTTCCAAATGTTTGTCTGCTTGTGTTAAGGTCTTGAAACGTAATTTTTCTTAATTGTTTTTGTAAAGGATAACTTGGAACTCCCATGTTATAGATAGTCTAGGTATAACCTGTTAGATAAATTTGTTTAGCATAAAGGGGAAAAAGATTCAATGTAAACTAGAGAAAGAAAAACGTACTGCTTATCAAAATAAGTTTTGTCAGCGTATAACTTATTCAAAGTCATGTTGCTTTTTTTTTTTATTTATTCTTGTACACAGGTTCTTCGAACATCAAGGTATGATTCATCTGTTTTTCTTTTTCTTTATTGGTGTTCTCACAAATCATAAAGAGAATTCAAACGTTTTGTTTAGTAACTTGCTTTCGAAAACAGAAGAGTTATTCATCGAGTTAAGATATGTAAGACAGCACCCATTTACATTAATTTGAAAAATTTTATCTAGGCCAATAGAACAATTTTGTAATTGAGGTAAATACAGTAGACAAATAGTAAATCAAATTTTTATCAGACAACAAAAAATTTTTACTAGTTTGAATGCCATTATAAAGAGTAGATCAAGCATAATTATCGAATTTCAATAGTCATCTCTCATTGTTAAATAAAAACATGTTTTAAGATCTGCAGAATTTTTTTGTTGAGGGATGCTTTGCCATCTAAAACTATTTGTTTTTTTCCTCTTTGATACTGTTATTTAAGACAGATTGCACGAATGTTCAATTTATATCGTTCACAAAATACACATCAACCGTCCTGTGTCTCATAATGACATAGTTTTTGCAGCAATGTGCTGTGGTTGAGTGACTACATTGTTCGAAACGTCTCCCGAAAGCATGGCATTCAAGTCTAGGTATCATCAGACGTAGAATGATCCGAGACAAATCACCAACAGCTTGTTATCTCGAGTCAGTCGTCTCAACGTAGGCTGACTATGTATACAGTGTGTCACAAAACCATTACGCCCCCCTCTACAACTTAAACTATAAATGATACTCACAAAATCTTTATACGAAACTAAAGCGCATCGAAAACTGGATCTATCTGTATCAAATAGTGGAAGTTATCAAAACCTTTTAATATCGAACGTAGGAAATTTTCAGACATTTTATGCTTTTTTTGCCATAGAAAACTAAGGTACTAGCAATTCGAAATGGAGGAATAACATACGATGCAAAAGTAATGGTACAAAATGTTGACCCCTATTTCACTTTGATAGAAAGATACTGAAAGAAAATTTTTTTTACCAAAAGATAGAGCTTTTTCTCCTCTTTCGAACCGTACTTAACTTATTTTTATAACACGTGTGTAAATGAAACGCCATAATAAAAAAGAGACTCTCAAAACAAATCCGCACTTTTTTTAAATAAAAGAACGATACAAAATGTCGACTTTCAAATCTCTTCCATAAATACGTTGTAAAAAGAAAATTTTGTTATCAGATGATAGGAAATGTTCTCCTCTTTCGAACAGTGCATGATTTATATTTGTCACACATTCGTAAATAAAAATTAGACGAAGAAGAAAGAGAAAAGCTCCTCGAATAAGTTTGCAATTTTTATACGAATTAGTCAAAAACATCAGTAGATGACAGTTAAACATTATTAGTCGTCGTTTCACAAACTGTTTTTAGCGAGTTCATAAAAGTCAAAGTAACCACTGTTTCACGAGGACTTTTTTATGAGCACACGAAAATCAAATTAATTTCTTTCTGACAAGATGTTTTTTGCCTAATTAATATAAGAATTGCAAATTTTTGCAGGAGTCTTTCCCTTTCTTCTTCGTCTAATTTTTATTTACGAATGTGTGACAAATATAAATCATACGCTGTTCGAAAGAGGAGAAAATTTTCTATCACCTGATAATAAAATTTTCTTTTCAAAACGTGTTTATTAAAGACTTATCCAAGAGATAAAGGACTCAACATTTTGTGACGTTTTTCTAAATTATACAAAAAGTGCGGATTTGTTTTGAGGGTGTCTCTCTCTTTTATTATGGTGTTTCGTTTACATATGTGTTATAAAAATAAGTTATACACGATTCGAAAGAGGAGAAAAAGCTCTATCTTTAGGTAAAAAAAAATTTTCTTTCAGTATCTTTCTATCGAAGTGAATTAGGAGTTAACATTTTGTACCATTACTTTTGCATCGTATGTTATGTGTTGCCAACATATTGACTTTATATTGTTCACAACTAGAAAAATTGGAAGTAGTATTTTTCGTTTATAAACAAGAGGCGGTGTAACTTACAAAAATACCTGTGCATTATGGCCTATCCTATTATTTATTCTTAATAAAACGTACGTTTTTGAGAGTAACCAACTATTGTAAGCATGAATGAAAAGTTGACTATGCAGTAAAACGAGTATACAACCATGCGCATTTTTGTATATGTGAATAGTTTGAGTTAAGCCTGGAGTTGTGTCTTAGTGGAAAATTTTTAAAAAGCTGTTTTTTTTTTCTGTCTTGCGAATTGTGTCAGCGTCAGATGAAAATAATTATTTATCTTCAAGAATATTGAAGAAGAATCTTCTTAATAAGAAACTTGGTTCATAACGAACCCACTATTTTGTGCATCATATTTGTTAGTTTCAGATTTGAATTGTCGAAACGTGATCATTACATAGAACGATTATTTAATAACATGGAAGACTTCGATGAAGACGATTTTTTCAAAAAACGTTCACCAGATTATGCTAAAGTTGAAGCAGACAAACAAGCAGTCACTGATCACTGTGCTCGTGAGCATGACAAACTGAAAGAGAAGAAGAAAGAATTCTTTCAAGAAAAGAATGATGGTGCCCAAGCTAGTGACACACTGAATAATGAAATCAACAAATTACTTGGTGAACTGGACGAACAAGTAAAACAAATAACACGAGAAGAAAAGGAAAAGACCGAACTTTGTGCTAAACACTACAAGTTGGCCGAAGTCATTGCAGAAGAAAGAGAAAATCTGGATACATCTCAAATACAAATTGAGAACAGTGAACGTGAACTACGTCATCATACGACTACGAAAAGCACTTTAGAAATGGAAGAAAAGCAATTGCGTAATCAACTCAATATTATGAAAGAAAAATCGAACGAGAATAGCAATACCCAGCACCACCTTCAGCTTTCAATGAAAGGACTTCAAGAACAGATCGAACGGGTTTCTCACGAACTTCAAGAACAAGAACAGAAACTCGCTCAAGAAAATGAACAAAGACAACAAATCGAACTGCGTATCGAAGAATTAAAAGCCGAAATGCATCATATTGAAGAGCAGTTGAGAAATATCGCCGCTGAATTGGAACGATTAGCTGAAGAACAACGAAATCTTTCTGCGCAACAGAAAGATCTAAAAAAACAACATGAACAATTATTAATCATGATTACTGAACTGGAACAAATAATTCAAGAGAAAGAAGCTGGTCTTGCTCGTCAACAATCACAAGTCGATCGTATTCAGGAGAAGATTCGGCAATTGGGCAAAGAAATAAACGAACTGCGCGAAGAGATTCAAAAGCTTAGTGAAGAACTTGAAACAGTCAATGATGAATTGAATCAAGCAGAAGAACGATTAAAAGAATTCGAGATTGAACGCAAACGATTGGAAGATGAGAAGCGTGAACTAGAGAAAAAGTTTACTGCATTAGATGATCAACGTGCCGATTATAGTAAACAACTTAATGCTCTTCAGCAAAAGTTACGTGCTACTGAAGATTTATTAGCACGAGCACAAATGAAAGTTGCTCAACTTGAACAATCACTCCAAACTCAAACGGAAGAAGTTCAACGTCTTCAAGAAGAACATGACACTCTAGAATCACGTCTGGGAGAATTAACCGAAAGATGTAATGATTTGCGAGAACAAAAAGAAGAAGCACAACAAGAAAAACAAACGGCAGAAGCTGAACTTCGAGAGGCTGAGCAATTACTTAATCGATTAAAACAGCAAGAAAGAGAAGAACAAATGCAACACAATCGCGCGGTCAGCGAAGAACAACAAGCTCTGTCACAGTTGAAAAATGCAGAAAATGAACAACGTATAGCTGAGGAACAATTGCGCGCTGCTGAAAGTCGACTGAGACAGGCAAAGATAGTCACCATTGTTACATCGTTCTTATGGTGGACTAGAATATGTGTTAAACTTATTGGTGGTCGGACTGCTGATACGAAAGAGGCTGAAAGTGCTGTGCAACAAGCTCGTGATAAAGTTGAACAAAAGCGCAATGCCTGTAATCAAGCACGTGAAAAACATGTTGCAGCGAAGCAGAAGGCCAGTCAATGCGCCGCTCAATATCGTGAACGAGTTAACGAACGATCACAGCAAGAAAGCGTCGTTCAACAAAGATCATCCGAAGTCGCCACAAGAAAACAACATCTCCAACAGGTGAGTCATACATTGCGTGAAGTTAATCGACAACGAACATCGACCGAAACCAATCTGAAAACAGCGTCAAGCAAATTACAACGTGCTCAAGTTCAACTTAATACCACTACAAACGATTTACATAAGTCTCAGCATGAGCTCAACACTCATGAACAACAAAAACAAGAATTAGATTCTAATATTGAAACATTGCAGACTACCATCGAGAGACATGAACGTACCATTCAAGAGCATCGATTATTAATAAAAGACAATCAGACAGCTTTGACTAACGCTACTAATAATCATCAAACACAAGTCATTGAAGTTCAACGTATCAAAGGTCGAGTCGATCAGATGAAACGAACTCTCTGCGACAAAACCAATATGGAGAAAGCCAAGGTACGTGAGATAAATAATCAACAGAAGTTACTCGAGATGGAGAAACATACCGAACAGCAATTACGAAATGATTTAGCTGCAAAACGTACACAATTAGGTGAAGTGGAAAATGAATTAAAGGCAACGACAACAAAACTCATTCAGATTACCGATCAAATTAAAGATTTACAAAATGAAAAGAAGAATTTCGATCAACAACAAAAAGCTAAGCGTCAAGAATTGAGTCGCTATGAACTCGCTCAACGTCAGGCCCGTGAACAAGTACAAAAGCAAGATCTTAAAGCACAAAACGTTCGTCAAAAACTTGACATACTCAAGATTCGCGATCAACAACTTCATGGTGAGATCAAAACTATGGAAACGAAACTTCAATCGAAGACTGAACAACTGACTGCCAATCAAAATACTGCTAATCAAGTCATTGAACAGCTTCGATCTATCAAACAGCAACAGGAACGTAGTCGACAAACGATTACAACATCAAAAAATACATTAAACGATGTTGATGCTCAAGTTCGACAAAAAATTGAGAAAATCGAACAGCAAGAACGCATCTTTCGAGAAACAACTAATCAATTTCATCGTCAACAAGAGAAATTCACTCAAAACGAAGATCTTCGTGCTGCTAATTATGAACGTTTGGAAAAACTCGAACAGACTATTACTGAACTCAAACAATATCATACCGATGAACAAACAAGACTGCAACTCAAAGCCAATGAAATCATCACCAACGATCTACAAGCGAATGGTATCACTCCAAAAGTACGCAACGTAAATGTGCGTCCTATAGTGACGCCGATCGATTTAAAGAAGAAACAAGCATTACCTTAATACTGAAAAAAAACTATTGATATTTCTTGCTATCGTTTACTATAACCATGTTTTAGCATCCATTTTATTATTATCCTAGAAAAAAATAAACTAATCTTTCCTTTTCAAATAGTTTTCTTATTCTAGATTGATCTTTTTCTTCTCGAAATGAGTGAAAATAATACTTTTAGTTTTGCACGCTTTGATTACTCCACCGTTCCATCAATTGCTTCATCTATCAATCTCGTTTCATCATCGATCAATCCTATTTCATCGTCGATTGCAACATCACCTGTCGAAGTATCCGATGTTCATGGTCTCATCGTCAATCTCAAGGTGAAATTCAACTATCCAGAACTACATGCTTTTGTCGATGAACTCAAACAACTGAATGATCTTATGCAAATAAATGGGCAACGCATTTCAATTCTGCATCTTTATGCACTTGAATCTACACGTGACCCAATCGACATGAGTAATCAAACTGTACGAACAACATATCGACCAAATCTTTTCATTCGAAAGAATGATATGTATGGACCATGGAACTTCAAATATCTTCTTGATCTTCTAGAACTTGAATATGAATGTGCGATGAACGATGGCCAATTTCCGAAACTATGGAAATCAACTTCGACAACTACAGTACAAATTAGAGTAACACCGTATTATGATCGATCTCATAATTCTACTGATAATCAAGAGCAATCAACAACGAATTCTCAAGACGATGTTACTCTTTTTGGTTTGTTAAAAAAGATTTGTCAACAAAATAAATGCGATGAGAGCGATGCCACCATTTGGGGAAAAGCTCTAAAAGGCAAGTACTATGTTATACTTTCGCCAGTCACAGATGAATTAATTCTTTATTAAATTATATGTTTAGATGGCTGGCTTTGTATTGACAATCTAATGCGTGTTATCTTTACATAAATAAAGCCATAAATTGAAAAACTTTGAAACAGATTGTAAAAGATTGTGGCATAATGTATAACTTTTCTGAGAGTAGTTCTGTATATATATATATATATATATATACACAATCAAATATGTAATTTTGAGGATTTCTATATCAATTAATTTCTTTAGCTTAAATTAATATAGGTTCTTTTCAAATCAATCAGTCATCAAACATCAAGATAGATATGATTTCTGATCTTTTCTTATGTTATTCGGTAGTTTTTTTTAAATTATGGATTATTTCATTGAGTGATGAATAAATATGGCCTTGTTTTAATTTCAGACGAGAACATCAGCACTATTGACCATTTACGTGGTGCTGTAACTAATGAAACCATTTGGGAAAAAATCACTGTTCGAGTTTTAGTCAAACAAATGATTCGTGACTATGTTCAATTGAATATTGTTTCAAAAAATTCATCTCAAGTGACTGATCCTTACAAAGATTCGAAGGCCACTTTATTAGGTGACATTCATCGAGTTCGTCGCTATTTTTATCACATTACGGGACAAATTCAATGTGTTCCTTATCTCGATCGAAATGCTGTCAACTTAGCCATCGAAGAAATTCGACAAACATACGATGATGATGGAAATGTTCTCATCAATATACATAATTATTTACGAACATTTTGCTTGCAAAATACGGTAGCTACTGAAGAAGAACGAAATAAACAACGACAAGGTTGGATGACAGAACTCAAATCAGTCGAAGAAAACAGAACTAAATTACAAGTTAATGCTAAACAACTACACAATCAATTACTAGCAACTGAGCGGGATACAGTTTTGTGCGAGAAACGCTTGTCCAATATACTACAAGAAGAGAAACATGTGGAAATTGATGCTCAAAAAATTATGGACGAAGCACAAAAGATAGCCCTGAAGAATTTTCATAATATGAATTGGATCGAGAAACGAGAAGAGGGCAAACGCAAATTGGACGCATATCAAAAAAAGAAGCAAGTTGCTCAGAAAGATTTGATTGACAAACGCCATGCACACGAGCAGGCAAAACATCGTTATTTGTTGGCAGCAACCGAACTCGACAATGATGAAAAGAAGATTGAAGCATTGAAAGAGTTGCTTGAACTCAATCTAGCTAATGAACAACGAAAATTAAATGTCAAATTCGGTCGTGGTCTACTTCTCTATGGTCCACCAGGGACAGGTTTGTTGGACTCTTTAATATCATCATTAGAGTCATGTTTTTACTTTGTAGGCAAATCAGAACTGTTGAAACGAGCGGCCATCTTTGCTGGTATTACTATGACTACAAATCCTTTGGCAGCTGGTGAACTCAATCGACCGTATGTAGGTGAAACTGAAAAACTTCTAATTGATATTATGTATCGAGCAGATACTATTCCATATTTAATCTGTGCTATGACAATTGATGAAATCGATGGTCTCGTACCTAAACGTGACAACAATGCACAACAATCAAAAGTCGATGGCATAAGTGTCCTCTTGTCTCATATTGAAGGTGTAAAGAATATTCCCAATTTGATTGTACTTGGTGCTACTAATCGAAGAAACATGATGGACGAAGCGTTCCTTCGTCGTATGCAAGCGAAATGTTTTGTTGGTCGACCATCACCACAGATTCGTAAGAAAATGTTGCGACCACTCTTGTCCAAAGGTTCAAATTTGTTTACGAATAAACAATTGGATTTTCTCGTCAAAGTAACTACGAACTTTAGTGGCGCGGCTGTCGCCGCACTTCGATCAAGCATTATTGTCGCGTTGGATGGTAAAAATTCGAGTTCATTACCTGACGTCGTATTACTTGAATTGGCAGATAATGTGGCACGTGAGTTCAGCTGTTGGTTTGGCGTTGGAACATTGCCAGAAATATGTCGCATGTATCCGAACTTATTCAATTCTCAACTTGATCAGAATTATGAAGCCTATTCGTTGACATTATCTCAACTTTTACCATCGGGTCGTATTATGGTTGATTTACGAGAACGAAAATGTCTTATCGAACTGACAAATGAACCAACACTCGAAAAAGAACTTCAAGATAGTGAAACATCGATGCTGACACTTATCGCTCGATTTGTGCATGGTTGCTCGACTCGAAATATCGACACTATTCAAATAATTGATCTAAATTTTCTTACAAAACAAAATGCTTTCGATGATAATCAAATATTTGAACTATTAACTACTACATTTCTTGGTTAGTTAACTTCGTTATTTGAGAAAACTCATTTGTCATTGAATCTTTTCTTTCTCTAGAATGCAATGAATACAATCGATCAATGTTGATTTTCGACATCGATTCCTTGATTATGCTTACTGTATCCGATTCCGAAATGTCTAAATCAGAATCGATCTCTAATATTCGTTTATATCAATTTATTCGTGAAAAATGTAAGACAGCCATTGTTGAACAAATTTCTTCAGATAAGGTTATATGATCTAATTCACACTGCTACTCTTTTATTGATCATAATCCATACCTCTTTAGGATATTAAGATGGTTAAAGAAAAATGGGTTGTCATCATTGTTAAACATCCACTTTTACGACAACTGATCATTGACGATATCGAATTCAAGCAGACTTCACAACAACTACAGAAAGAAGAAGATGATAAAAAGAAACGAATTGACGATGAAACTGAAAAACTCTGTCCTAAATGTCATCAGAATTATATTCCATCGAAGACTAACTATGGAAATTGTCGTTATCATGATGGATTCATCTACGATCTCGAAGGGAATGCTGCACTAAGCATGGACGAAGCTCAGAGCAAGCTACAAAAAGTAAAACTTCGTCAACAACATGCATCGTCTGAACCACCACCACAATTAATTTGGGCCTGTTGTCTCGGTGTATTTGGAGTTGATGGACCATGTCGAATTGGATTGTGTGGTTTGCCAGAAGAACTCAAAGAAAAATATAGTGATGCTCCCAATCAAATGGAAATTGTTCAAGAACATTTCAAGAAAAATCAAGCTGCCTCAGCTAAAATTAGTAAATTCTTAGAGACTTTCAAAAAAGCAAATACTACAATTTCAAACGCATCAACACCAACAAGGTCATCAACAAATTCAACTGACCGAATAACGACAGGTCTACCAATAAATAAAAAATGACATTTTCAATTAGCGATTGCATAACTCTGGCCATAGAATTTGATTGATTTTTTTCTATTTAAACCAGAGCAAAAAAAGAAATGACAATCAAAAGAAAAAACATCTATTTTGCTTTTCTTTGATACATTTTTTAATTGATAATCTACTTTCGCTTTCAAACACATTAAATCATTGCTTGATTTCAAGCGAATCATTTTCTTTGTTATATTATTCGTAGTACATTTCTCATAATCTATATCATTTTTAACTGTTATAAAGCCTAAAACAGCGTTTTTCTTTCAGTATTTTACCAGGAAAAATTGTTTCGAATTTTTATCATTACTTTATGGATTAATTTATTATTTTTATGGTTATTTATTTGTATTTTATTATTAATGAAGATTTTATGTGCAATAAGATTGACTCATTTGCATTGTTAAAGAAAATTGATGTGGTGTTTTATTTTTATTTCTTTTTGATCTAGCGTATCTAACCTTGTAGTAATGACTTGTGTTCACTCTCCGTAGAAGGTTTTGAAATCTTGACCTACGAAGAAAATTATTGTGAAATCTAATGTTTTTATTTTTAATTCTCTCTTCCTACTTTATTTAGTTATGTTTCATTAGCGATGTTGACTTCATCAGACTATTTAGATATAAAATAACAAATACAAATTAAAAAAACACATGTATATTCTCTCGATTCTAATGATAGAGGAATGAAGAAAACAAAATTTAAAGACAACGCTCTGTCCAGTATCACCGTCTTGTTTGTTTCAATATCAATAGAATAGAGAGAAAATATTTGTTTTTTTTTAAATTGTACTTGTTATTTTATACATAAACAGTTTCATAAAGTTAACATCATTGATGATATGCCTCTGAATAAAATTTCAAAGGATGCATAGAGAAAATTAAAAATAAAAACATTAAATTTCACAATTACCTTCCACACAATTCAAGATTTTAACATTTATTAGAACCATTCGAAACAGATGTGTCAAACAGAACGCGAGGTCAACATCAAAGAAGATTGTTTTTTTGTTGATGATTTAGCGGCTGTTCGCTGTTTAATATTCACATTTGTCTGTTGGAAATTCTCATAACATGCGACAATTGTCAGTGAATATCAGTTAATTAAGTCCAAGTGATAAAGTTCTAGTTTATTAAAGATAAGGCAAAAAGAATCATCATATAGAAATCTACTGTTTAATTCAATCTAACTATTGATCGTGTTTAATAGATATAAAAGGATGAAGAGTTCAAAGATAATCGACCATAATTTTAATGCTTATATTTTGTGCTAAAATAGCCGAGAAACGTTCGATAAGTGCATCACTCGTCGTACTGTTCGCCGCAATATGATTGAATACAGTCTGAAGTTCAGCACCCGTCAATGCTGAATAGGCTCGACCACCACTGACTGAGGCCATATTTTGAAGTAATTGTGCTTCGTTGCTTCCTTGAGCGATTCCAGATCCGAAGCCAACTGTATGACAGACGAATTTATGATTAGTTTCATAATTCTGTTTGAATTGACGTATGAGTGCTACAGGATCTCCTCCACTGCAATCACCACCGTCTGACATAAAAATCATCACGACCGTTGAGGCTGTATGATCAGCAGCAATTGCTTGGTCAGCTTTATTTAAACCTTGACAATAATCTGTACCACCACCATTCATAGATAGAGAACGAGGTGTATTTGCAAGACTTTGTTGCTGACAAATAATTCGTGCATTAGAATCAAATTGAACAACAGTAAAATGATCATCTCCACCTTGATCATCATTACGTCGTGTCAAAAATGCGACATAAGCAGATTGCAAAGAGTTCCATTCACCGGTCATCGAACCTGATTCATCAAGCACAAAGACGAAATGAAACGATTGTGTTTCTTGTTGTTTATCATCGAATAGCTGAATTGTGGTGAATACTTTGCCTGTTTCGTCCTTTTGAACATCATAATGGGTCTGAAATGCTTTTTCCATTTTAGCGGTTGCTTTTGGTTTTATGCGGCAAAACATGAGATCGATTTCTGCATCTTTTTTTAAAAGACGATCACAAATACTGTTCACTGTGTGTGTACCGGCTCCCTAAAAATAGGAAATCAGATAAATCACTCCTCTATTGTACTAAAAACAGTGAGCGAGTCTTCTTATCAAATATGAACTAGAATAATAACACAACCATGGATCTCATTAGATTTTCCCTTCGAACTGACTACATTTGAATCTTAAAAGATGATTTAAGTAAAACAAAAACACGACAGTTAGATTCCTTACTTGAGGATGTCGATCAATGCTGAGATTATCATTTAGTTCTGGTCCATGGCCAGGTGCATCAGTGATGAGAACAATAAAACGAGCGTTGGTATTACTCCAATTTGTCAAAGTTAAACAAGAATCAAGTGCACCAAGTACATCTTCAGGTAGATCATCACCACCACTTGCTGTTAACGTATTAAGAAAAGTAATTACTTGATTAGTATTATCAGTGAAATCTTGAGTGAAGAATTGTGGTTGATCACCAATATCACGATAACCAACAATAGCAAAACGTAATTGTAATTTGAGTGATGGATATTCTTTTTCAATCAATTTGGTGATACCTTCGACGATGCTTTTCATTTGATCTTTAGCTGCCGATAACCACCGTGACATACTTCCGGTACAATCGAGACAGAAACAAATATCAACAGTCATATTCGATGGTGGTTGGCCACTGTTGATTAACATCAAATCACGTTGACCGGCTAAATCTTGAATTAATTCTCCGAAGATCTTCTTCGATTTGATATCATCAAATAGACTATCTATTGTACTAGTAGAATTATCAGTGTTGTTACCATCCGTATTCATGTTTGATGGCCATTCGAGTGAAAATAATTGAGTTTCATTTTCGAAGAGAGCTCGCAATGCTTTTGGTAATCCATATGGTGTAGCACATTGTAAATATCGTTTGTAGACTAATTTGAGATTGGTTTGATCGATGCCAACTGCCATGGCAATCAGATCAATACTATGATCTTCAGCACGTTGTTGTACCATCGATAGTCGACTTCCACAATTACCATAACCATCAGTTAAAATAAAAATTCTTTTCTCACCTCGAACTGAACATTGATCAAGAAGATCGATGGCGACCTCAATGGCATCTGCATCCTTAGTGTCATCATCTCGATCAAAACGTAACTGTTGAATCAACGTGTAGATACATGTGGCATCCCAGGCTTGTTCACTGGTCTTAATCAATCGAACATTTTGACCAAACACTATGATGCCAAAATTCTCTAGGCTGAGTTTACGCAAAGCAGCAATAAGTACGACAATTGTATGAATTGTACCAATGCTAAGTGTACCGAACATAGAAGTTGAAACATCAATGACAAGACACATTGCATGATCTCGTTTACCACCTGCCAATTTGGCACTGAAAATTTTCTTGTAACTCCATTCAGTAGTCATCGCTTTGATTAGACCAGGTAAATATAGTGATGAACCACGTAGTGCTGCTCGGCGACGTGTAAATTTATTAAATGGAAAGACAAGATCACCAAGGACAGTCGATAGATCATCGATCAAACCTGAAAAACGATATTCATCACTGATCCATTTCTTTTCTATATCTTGCATAGCAGATGTGAGTTTGAGTGCGTGGTAGTATTGACGAAGTAAATCAACAGCATGTGATGCATAATCGGTGTATTCGCTGGAGCGTGATAAATAACTCGTTAATTGTGATCGAATCTAAACAAAAAGATAAGAAGTCAATGGATTAAATTCTATCTGAACCCCAGATGATTAAAAAGAAAGGATCACTCAATCTTTATAGAGCATATAATCTCAGTCGCACTATTTGACTTCAATATACTGAGTATGCTCATTTCTCTATCAAAATTCTTCATTTTTTAAAGGACTTGAATACTGTTTAAGTAATCGAACTTCATGTATTCACTTACTTGAGCTAATTTTGGAATGTTGACTGTTGGACTACTAATTGTGTATGAATTTGGACTAGCTGCAACGTAAGATTGTTTTTCAGTAGCAATATCTTGAAGAAGCATAACATCATTGATAGTCGGTACTCTGATATTTATCACTGGTAATTCTTTCATAGCTTGTTCTGATGATGATGAAGATGTTTTTGTTAGACAAGCTTTGATCATTTCATGCATGAGTTGAGGTACTTTGAGAGGAAGCTCAGTAATGTTGTTTGCTTTGAGAATACAGCTCTGTGCTTGTGTCAAACCTTTAAGCAGAACTTGACTGCTATTCTGATCGACTGTTTCGATGAACATAAAACCAAGATCGATTTTATTTTTTGTAATTGTATGAGAATAACTGGCATCATCTCGTTCCTGCGTTAAACCATCGGTAATCATAAGTACAAGACGATGCACAATTGTAGTTGATGATTTCTCTGATTCTACAACTGGAAAGACTCGATCAGCAATACGTGCTAATCCTGTTGCAGGATACGTCCCTTCGTCGAAGGTCAATGCTTCAAGAACATATTGTCCATCTTGATTGGTAAAAAGATCATCGAGATTTTTCAAAATTTTCTGATTAGTTCGTGTACCGAATCGAGCAACAGCGAATTTACTTTCAAGTTTACGTAATAATTCCATGATAATGACGAGAGCTTCATAAATGGCATTTCGGTGAACACTCATTGAACCTGAATTATCAATCATGATACACCAGCGAATTTCATGTTCATCAAGAAGATCGAGTTTTTCCCAATGAGAACGAAATTCTTGTACGATGAGATCAATCATTCGTGAAATGGCTGGTACTTCAACAAGTAATTGATAAGTCCATTGTTGGTGCTGTTCTGATGGCTTTAGAGCAGAACGATTGTCAAGTTTTCCATCGGGTACAGTTGAAGCAACTTTGGAATCGGCTTTTTCATACATTTCGACCAGATTCGGTTGTTTTTGCAAATGTTCGTGCATGGCTTTCATTTGTAGATCAAGACTGATCTCTTGATTTGAATCCATATCGACTGGAGATATCTCACTTTGACTTGCTCCACCACTTGTAGGAATAACTTCTGTTGTATTCGTATTTTGATTTAACATTCCAGTTGCTAAATTCTGAACACTTGTTTGAAGATTTGAATTGACAAGTTGCTTTTTCTTTGATTTTAGTTTCTTTTCTTGTTTTTTCTTTGCCAATTTCATAGCATCTTGTACCTGTTCATCATTGTTTGTTCGTATTGCACGTTCCCAATCATCGAATGATATTGGTGCATCGTCGTTATTGCTGATAACGGGTGCAGATCCACTTGTCGGTCCCGTAGGTTCGGGGGTAGTATTTATTTGTTGAAGAATATCGAATTTCGATTTATTCGAAGATCTACCTTTCGGAGCAATAGAATTTGAAGGAGGTTTGAAATCAACTTTGATTCGACTGACATCAACATTCAATTGACGTAGAACCTTTCGCATCATTGGATACTTTTCGAGAGCTAACGAAAGTAGACTTTTTTCTAGTTGTACTAAGTCTTTCATCAAAAATCGAACACCAACATGAGCAAAAGTAGGTTCAAGAATTTTTCTTGCAATAAAAAGATCACGGAATAGCTGAAGACCGTATTGAACAATATCATGACCAACTTTGATTTGATTTGAGTCATTTGAATTCGATCGATAGTGCACAAGAACATTGAAAGTGATAAAATTCGCATACCACTGAGTAACCTGTGTTCGAGTGATAAGTGCTGCATCGACAATATCACGAACAGTATGAGATTCTACAAAGACAATCGATGATCGAGAAAGATTTTTAATATAATTCAATACTGATATTTCCATTTTTGTTAGTGTCTCATCAGAATAAGGACATTCGATTGATGTCATTCTAGTGAGTACTGTTCGTGGTACTGAGGATGAAGCAGACATTGCCTGTTCGGTGTTTGATGGTGGGATTTGACGAATACAAGTACGTTTGGTAAGAGCTTCACGAATAGCTGCGAGAATGGATGAAAAAGTGATTGTAGATACAACTGATGAGCTGGCGGCGAATACTTCACGAGTATTTTGACGACAGTTTGAAAGAATACAAAGTGCTGATGCTAGACTCGTTGTATAAAGTTGTTGACCAAAGGCAATGTCTCTGGTCGACACCAGACCAATAAATGACATCAAAATAGACGATATAACGCTGAAAAATCGAAGAGATTTGGCATAATTAATATCAAACAATGTCAACCATGATGGAACAATGTTATTGAATAGAAGATGTTGACTTTCTTCGTCCAGCGTCGAATGAGATGATAGGCGCAGTAAAGTTCGATAAGCATGAATTTTCTGTTGCATTGTTGGTGGAGTAAGAGACTGAATTCGTTCAAAGAAGTCAGTTGATGACGATGATGATGATATGTTCGATGAAAGTTGATGAATCGAAGATTCATGTACATTGAGCGACTTCAGTTCGTCGTTTGTTAAGACAAGACGACAAAGTTTTAAGATCATTTCAGCCATTGTTTCTTCTGCAGTGGCATTAGTCAGTGCTTGTGTAAGATGAACAACTTCTTGGTGACAGTGAAGAACGTCAACAAACTTGAGGATTGTTTCCCATGTTGGTGTCGAATAGAGATGCATGTACAGTTGTCTGATAGAATACCAATTTTTGTCAGGATTGAGGATATCGAGAAGATAAAGAACTTGAGTAATAACAGATGCCAGAGTCGTATGTTTGTCACCTATATTACAAAGCAGACGATAGGCAACGCTGATTGCTTTCTTGATGGAAGTCCATTGAGAGGCAGTGACTAAGACAAGCTGACGAAGTATATCACAGAATGTCTCGTTATTACCTGTATGAATCATAGGATTTTTCACATCACCAATTAGTGTCCGTCGAAATTCAAGAATTTGTGAAATGAGATGGGTGGGTGGTGGGTAAGGCAGATAATGAAAAGAACATAGTGCTCTAGAGATTTCATAATAATAGATCTCTTTGAAAACGTTCTGAATGGAGTAAAATGGTTGTGATGGTTCAAAGCGTTTAAGAATCATTTCTGTTACTGTCAACAGATCGTTTAATTGGACTCTCTGCTTGTCCGACGCTTGTTTAAGAATTGGAATAAACTGTGTGTAATCAATAAAGAGTGGTGCAAGTAAATCGGATTTAATATTTGCGTCCAGTGAGTTCCACAACGTATGCATGCCTTTCACTGCTTCAAGTAATGATCGTTGCACTGATATAGGACTTTGTTGTCTGATCAGAATCAAATGTAGGTCAAGTAATGCTTGCCAATCATTGTTGGTCAGTTTGATTACTACTTCTTTTACACGATCATTTATATGTGCAAAGAGTAAAGCTAATTTGAGATATGATGGATTGACAGACATCGTGATCAGTTCACCAAAAGAACTCACGGATGGAACCAAGGTCAACAAGTGTTGTGCAACATCGATTGTTGCTGAAGGCTGAACTACCTGATGGATGAATTTGGTAAAAATACGGATATTCTCTGGTATAGCACAATCGTTACTAATACATTGATGTACGAACTCGATGGCTTGTCGAAAGGCATCATCAGATGAACACTTCTCGTAGATATTCCAGAGTTTCGATGAATAGCTCTGCATTACACAGGCTTCGTCGATATTCGCAGCAGAATTTATTACAGCAAAAAGCTGAAGTCGAATAGATTCATTATTTGAAAACGAACGATAAAATAAACTTGAATGATGAAAGAATGATCGATAGTTTGTAAATGAAGATCGAAGTAGTGGGATTAATGTGTCAATGGCTGTGCTCACAGTAGTTTCATTGCTGAACAAATCAAGTGTAAGCAAATTCTTATTAGTTCGCTGTCTATTATCAGTGAGATTCGTGCAGAACATAGACCATTCATCCTTGGTCTTTGGTAATGAGTCTTTCGTATTTTGTGATCCGCAGACATGAGCAATGGCTGTGAGTGCCACTAATGGAGTATAGGAACTATGAATTATATATTCTCGACAAAGTTGATACAACCAGGATGAAGGCAACAATTCAAGTCCGCACCATAAATTAGGGTTGAGATCTTTCGGTAAGGCAAAGTCACGTAATGGTAATGTATGCCCAACGACAACTATCGTTACAGTGCGATTGATTAGTGTCCCATTGATATCGATTACTGGATCACATATACTTATTAGTTCGAATTCAACAAGTACAATGATCTCTGACATGAAATTATTGTCGATTACATCACATTCGATCATAATACTAAATGAGCGTTGTTGATTGGGATTGACTCGTAGAGTTTGATTAATTGATGAAGGTGTTGAATTAGCTGATGATTCTTGTAAAGCGGCTACTTTAACAAATGGTTTTGGTCGAAGAGGATCCGATATGGTAAAGCGAAGTTCTTTTTGTCCAATGTTTTTTATGATCAGCATGTTTTCTTTGAAGATTTTGCCAGTTTGTATTAATCCAATATCGATCACAGTTCGTGGTATCGTTTGTAAGATCGGCGTTTGAAACTCAACATAATATGGAATACTAATCGGATCGATGGAAGTATTTGTTTGTACTTCTGCTTGAATATCGAACTTTCCCAAATCAACAGGATAGTAGAGAAAGCGTACGGGAACTTTCGATTGTGGTGGAATAGTAAGATTGTCAGGTTCGATATGAAACTGTGATGCTAAAGGCATCCGAGGATCTTGTGTTGATACAATGCGTTTGTAGCTCAAAGTAGCAGCAGCTTTGCTCGCATTCGTGAATGTAATTTCATGTTCAATAGGTAGTAATTGATGACGATCTGCATTCCAGATTTGTTGCATTTGAGCCGATTGGCCTATAGTGATAATATGCTTAATATCAGATATGCGTGTTGAATAGGTCAATTTAGCTTCAGCTGTTTGACAGTCAAATGTCAATTGACATTGACGTTTGTTATTAACAAAATGAATGAAGAGTACAAATTCTTGATGAAGATTTGTAGACATTTGTATTTCAATTGGAATTGTTTTCGTCGTGTTTACAGGTAGATTGACTTCAGTCATTGTAAGAGTGAGCTTAGTCGAGGAAAGACGAAGTGTATATTCGATTGGCCCATCATTTCGAAATTCCATAGAAATGATACGTTTCTCACCCTTGTAGAAATCATCAATCAATACTCGATCTAATGAATTTTTTTCAATATAAGTACGACCTTGATAGATCACTGCGAGATGTAAACATCGAACATGTGCAAGTACTTTGATCCATTTGAGATTTTTAGCTGAATTGATCGCCAGACAAACATCTGCATCGATATCTTCTTCGATATTATCTGTTGGTTCAAGTGCGATACCAAAAGGTAAAATTGAATTAGCTGGTAAATCAAATTCATTGTTGAGGATAAGCAAATGAGATTGTCGTTGATTGATTTCAGTTGCTTGTAATTGTGACTTTATACGTACAGGACATGTTAGAACATTTTTCAGATCGATTGTTTTCTCGATTCGATTATTACTACAGGCTACAAAACCAAAATCAATGGTATCAGCTGATTTTTCGACATCGATCTCGACAATTTGAATTTGAGGTTGAATGACATTCGAAAGAGTAATTGTATTATCGATAAGAAGATTCCAATTTTCATTGAATGAGCCAATCGTTGTCGGTGGTCTTAAGAATATTTCAAATTCAAACATATGACCGGCATTAACTTGTACATTTTCATTCGTCACATCGAATGCAGATTCATCCGTAACAGTTCGATCGACTCGTAAGTTCAAATCTCGATCAGTATGATTATGAATAAATATACGTTGAGTCAATCGCTGATGAATACCACTGAGTGTACTACCAAAATCAAGGATAGCTCTTTTTGGATGACATGTTAGACTAGTTGATGTATTATCATCACTCATTGTTTCGATCAACCATAAATGAGCATCACGACTCATTTCAGAATGAATAAATGCCGTAGTAAGATCATCTTCGATAGGTAAGGATGATAAACTTATGAGACGTTTGATTTCAATCCAATTATTCGATGTTCGCTTAATTGTTCGAAAGATTCGTTGTGCATCTTTCAGTATTCGTCGACATTCATTTAAATGTTGAAAATTTTCTTGATTATTTTCCATTGGTATTTGACTCAGCTGTGTACATTCATTCAACATAGCAGAAAATCCTTGTTGAGTATCTGAAGATCCATGAGTCGAAAGAGCATTAGCCCATGCATAAGTTAGAACCAGATGTACTCGATTCAAGTGTAAATTATTGATGAAATGTTGTAATTGAGCTTTGGCATCTAATAGACAATGTCGACTTGAACTAAACGCTGCTTCCATTGAATAAGTTTGTACATACTGGAAATCGAGTCTTATTGCTGGATCATCATCATGAACGAATTGTATTAGTGGTGAAATTGATGCAAATTCTTTGATTTCTAATAGATCGAGAATTTTCTTTAGTATATCGACTTGTGGTAATTGCATGAATAGATGATAGATATTCGAAGGAGATGATAAATCATTTGGACCTGGTTTTGAGCAATTTATCATAGAAAGAATTTCTTTCATATGATTGGCCAATATTTGAATTGCTCGAGTAATGGATAATGATCGAAATTCTTCTTCTTCTTTATTTTGTTGATTTTGAACAGTGAGCTGTTCTTCTAATTCACGGAAACTATGTTGTAAATCATCAATTGATAGAATCTTTGATATGTTCAGGTCACTTGCAACACCATTTGCTATGAAGCAATATTTTTGATAAAGTGGTTGACACGTTAACTTCAAATTATTAATTACATGATATGGTATTCGACTATCAACAAGTGTTGACCATCTCATTTTCATGCCACTAATATCAAAGATATTAATGGCCAACTGTGTTATTTCTGTTCCAAGAACAATGTGAATCTTTGTTAATGCCTTGTTCAATGAGATGGTTAAAGTAAGACATGGAGATTTTTGTTTATTTGAATCCCAAAATAAAATATAAATTTCGTTCAAATGTTTGTTCAAACGTTCGATTTGTAAAAGAAATATATTTTCAGATATAGGAAATAATTCTTTATTCAATGGTGCAAGATTAAGTGATGATTGATAGCGTTTATGTAGATCGATTACTTTATGTAATTCACCTTGATCTGCCATAGTAAAAATTCGATGAATACCTTGTTGTTGTGATTGCATATACCAGAGAATTTCTTGAAGTAATAATGCAAAACATTCATCAAGATCATTATGAGTAGATATACTTGAATTCAAAGAGAAGAATGAAATAACACTTCGTCCAAAATCAACCAATTTTCGTTTGGCTTTTTGAACATAAGCTTCATTTTTTGTTCGAATTTTTCGACGTAATTGTACAAAATCTTTTCCAGCATTAAGCCATCGTTCATTGGCTTCTGTTGCTTGTTTGACAAGTGAATGAAAATCAATTGAACTCCATAAATCATTAGAACTATTTTCTACTTGTTCTTTGGATACAATATAAAAATCTTGAAAAATTCTATATTCTTGTCGATAAATATTTTCAAGTAATTTAAAAGCAGATTCAATTTGTTGATTATGATGAATAAAATTCATGAGAGTTTGCTCAAGAAGTAATTTTTCACTTAAATTATAGATCTCACGTGTTGAATGAAGTAGTTTAAAATAAAGATCATAATCCATATTTTCCATTGGCATATTCATAATGATCAATTCTAAATTATCAATACCACCGATTGATAATTGATAGATAGTTTGAAGATAATAAAGATCCATTAAATATTTTGATCGTTGATTTAAATTAATCGATTGAAGAATGGTATTTTTTCGTTGAAGAATTTTTTCAATATCTGCTAATCGAAGTGTATCATTTGTTTCGGATGAAAATAAAGAACTATTAATTTGTTTAACTTTACGTTGATTCCAAGAAAGTTGTCGATGAATATGAAATTTTTGTATTTTAATAAAACTACGAAACATTTCTTTCATTGTTAAATGCCATCGTTGATTAAGATCATCACAAAATAATTTCATATTTGATCGATTTTTTAATAATATTTCACATAAATTATCGATTAATTTTGATAAACTTTCGAATAGATTCGATTGAAGTTGTTTAGATATAAAATCACCTTTATCAGTTATTTGACATGATTCATCTGTTAAATATAAAAATTTATGACATAGATTATTAAGAATAAAATATTCATCATCAGTTAGAATATGAGAAATTTTCTCAAGTAATTTATCAATTGTTGACCATGTACGTTTAATAAGAAAAACAGAAGGTAAAATAAATTGTATTAAAATTTGAAGTGAACGTTCAAGTTGATCGAAAAGATTAAATGGATTTGAATTGAATATAAAACTAAGATGTAATGGAAGAAATAAAAGTGTATCACTATGACTTTTTAATTGCATTTCATATCGATTTAATAAATTAAGTAAATCAATTTCTGTACGTGGAAATTGTGTAAAATCGATTGTTTCAGTTGTTATACCTATTAAAAGATCATCAAATGGTTCACGTATTCCACGTTGTAATTGTAAATAACGACAACCAGCAACAAGTAAATAAATAACAAATCGTTCAAATTCTCGAATTAAATATTGAATTTGTTTATTTTGTTCATTAGCTATTAAAACATCAAATTTTATTACTTCACAACGTATATATTTACTTATATCTTGTGCATTTTTTATAATATCATTTTGATCATATCCTGTTCGAATTTGATTAAGAAATAAAGAACATTGTTCTCGTATAGATAAATTTAATTGACATAAATTTTGTTTTTTTCTATTTTCAGCATAAAATTTCATTTGTGATGTTTCAAATATTTTCGAATAATGTTTCCAACTTTTTGATGAATTTTTTAATGATAAAAGTGAAATATTTATTATATCACAATAGAATGAAATAAATAAATGCATAGGATCAGTTTCAGCTAAAGACATTGAATGAGATCGAAGATCATTTAATATTTCAGATATAACTGTTTGTAAACTATCAATTTGACTATCATCAATAAAAATTTTTGTTATTTCAAGTAAACTTTGATAAGCAATTGATATTGGAATTTTGAGAAGAGTATTAAGATCAGTTGATATTGAAATATCTGATTCAAATTGTTTTCCTAAATTAATAATATATAATTTGATTACATGAGAGATTTTTTCAAAATAATTTAGAAGATTAATCATCCATTGTTGTTGTTTTTGTTCTAATTGATGATTATATGAATTTGTTAATTGTTCAAGATTTTGTTTAACTATTATTATTTCAGTTTGTTTTTTCTTTATACTTTTTTTAACAGATTCTTCACGTTGATAATATTCATTTACTTTTTTATCTAGATTTTCGACAAGAAAATAATCTTCAATTGTAGCTATATGACGTTCTAATTCAGCATCTTCTCGTTCACGTCGACGTTTGTTTAAATCTTGTTCTAATTTATTTACTTCTTGTTCAAGTTGATGAAGATTTGTTTTTAAGTTTAATAATTCAATTTCATCATTTTTTAATGTTATTAATTTTAATAAATGTTGATTTTGTTTGAAATCATCAAGATTTATTGCTGCCCAATCGATCAAAATTATTAATATCAATGCTAATGCCATTTGAATAGGAAATAATTCTTTAACACTTGTACAAATTTTCATTAGAAGACTTTCTTGAATTCGTGGATCAATACATAAATCGATTAATTGTTGAATAACATTGACTGTTGCATTGAGAATATAATGAATATGTTTTTGCCGATCAAATAAAAATATCATTGGTGTTTGATGACGATAAATATAGCTCGATAGACCATGGGTAGCTGTTAAAGATGATAGTGTAGCTGATAAATGCATAGGTTCAACTTTATCGATACGACATGAAAGTAATAATTCGATATCATTGAATTTTGAACAAATCATTTGTATAATCGAAGTATGTTCTGGTACAAGAAGACAAAGAAGATCTTCTGGTCTTATATCAATTGGTAAAAGACTACAACTAGAATCTGATGGAAAATTTTTCATTTGATTTTGTGCAAGATTTAAATCATCATGAATTCGTTTGATATTTTCCAACATATTAAATACATTCAAATTTGCTTTTTTTGTCCATTCACGAAGTTCAGTTGAAAGATGAGCAACAGAAATATAATTTGATAACATATTACGATTAGCTTCTTCATTTAATAGATCACATCGAAATTGAGCATAAGCTAAAACAACATTATCTATTAATGTTCGATCATTATCAATATTATTTGAATTTCGTTCAAGTTGCATAGTTAAATCATCATTGAGAGTAATTAAAATTGTTTTTAATTGATCTTTTTGATTGGATGTCAATAGACATATTGCTCGTATCCATGTTTGATTTGATACTTGTGCATGAGTTAATCGAATAATTTGACTCATTTCTGAAAATGAATGAATTTTACTACTATTATGAATATTTTCACGAAAAATTTTCAAATCTGATTGATAATTATATATTTTTATTTGAGATGAATTTAATTGAAATTCAATATCATTTAGATCATGAATAGATCGATCATTTGGTAATGGAGCATGAAATATTGTATATTGATTAATTTCACGTGTAAATTTTTCAAGTAAATTAGTTAATGTTCGTTCTTCAGAAAGAAGCCAATTGAAACTTGTTTCACTTTCTTGATCAATATCGAATGTTTTTAATTTATGTAATGTTTGATGTATATGTTGAATGATATGATGAGGTCGAAGTGGTAGTTGACCAGCATGTGATAATAAATTAATAATATTAGTTATTGTAATATCGATTTTATTTTGCATTGTTTTTCTTCGATATTCTTTTGGATCAATATTTGTAAATGAATTTGATTTTGATTCATGTGATTGTAGATTAACTAATAAAGAATCTTCTCGATTTTCATCAAATAATGGTGCTAGAAAAGTAATAAAATTAATAAGTCCAAAACGAGAAAGAAGAGTAGGCGGTAAATGAAGATTTATTAAACATTGATCAAGTTTCTCTTGAAATTCTTTAAATTGTTGTTTAGATTGTTTAGCACCGATTTTTATATGTCCATTGACAATATCAATTAATGATAATGTTGAACGAAAAATCATTTCAAGATGTCCAATTGTATCTGGTGTAAATTTATAAAGTTCATCTGGAAATTGTTCACCACCAAAAGTAACATGTTGAATGATTAATTTAAGAAGACGAATTGATTTTTTAATAAAATCAAATAGAAGTTGAAAATCTTGAAGATGTCTATTATCTGTTAAATTACCAATTTTACGTAAATGTTCATCAATCATATGAACACAACTATAATTAATTGTTAAAGATTTTATAAATGCTAAAGATGTTAAACAACTACTAAGATCAGGTGGTTGAATTGATTGAATTAAATATTTTAATTCTTGATAAATATTTTGAACAGTAACTGATGAAAATGTATCTTGATAAGGTTTTATAAATGTCCACATTGATTGAATTATTGTTATCCATAGATCATCATTAAAATTATTTTTCTGAAGATTTTCAAATTCATTTTCTAATCGAATTAATTGTTGATAAATAAAAACTGTTAATGATTTTCTTTCAATTGCATTATGTTTAATAAATTGTTTAAGTTGATTATAAATAATAATTATTTGATCATAGATATCACTTATTGATTTTGTCATTGATATATTTGCTTGTTTATATAAATATAAAAGACAAGTAAATCCAAATATTTGTTGATCATTATCTGATAGAATTCCATCAACATAAGGTAATTGTTCTTGTACAATTTGATATTTGATTTCATCAGGTAAAGTTTCATTTAAAATTGTACATAATTCATTTGTTTCAATATCTTGTTGTAAACTAAACATATGAATCAATATCGAACGAGATTCATTTTCAATTGAAAGTAGACAACAATCGAATGATTTTTTATTTGGACAATAGATGAGTAGATCGAAACGATTCAATGTACGAATATTGATTTGATTTTGAAATTGTTTCCAATTGGAGATAATTTGTAAGCGACGTCCTTGATATAAATTAGGATAAATAAAAAGTCCACAGAGAAAAAGAATCAATGGTGTTTCAAGTATATCATCATGTTCGATTAATTGTCGTCCAAATGGTGTTGCAAGAACAGCACGAAGATCAAGTTGACCATCGATATTTATTAAACTGGGATTTCGAGGAGCATCAATCAAAATTTGAAAAAATCGATCGAATTGTTTCGCATCGGATTGTTCAAATCGACTTCGAATATATTGGAAAGCAGCAGATTCTCGTATTTTTTTCATCTCATCACGAAATTTTGAACGTGCAGCTAATACTTTATCGATAGTAGTAGTATGAGTTTGCTCAACTCGAGCTAATTGATCAAACAATTGATTTCTTTCAGTTCGTCGTTGAGATAATTCTTGTCGGAGTTCATCTGCTCGAACTTGCAAATCATTATCTTCTGATTGGTATAGAGATGTAGTACGTCCAATTGGTGCTCTCATATTTGTCGTCACTCTCGTTACTGCTGTTATTGGATTTCTATCTATTGATGGATTTTCTTCCGAAGTAGTAGTTGCAATACGATTCATTATTTGTTGAAGACTTTCTTCACATTGTTTTATTTCATTATCTTTAGTTTCTAATCCTTTCTTCAATCGTAAATAATCATTATTGATTGTACTTGATTCGGAAGGTAATTCTCGAACAATTTGTTCAATCATTATTGATAATATTGTACATAATTCCCAACAAGAAAATTTTATTTCACATTCAATAATAAAATCATGTGTTATACAAATATTTTGTTTTAAAACTTGTCGAATAGTTGGTGATAAATAATCATCAAATATCCATCGAAGACTAATCCATTCTAAGAGTGTTGAAAAATATTGTATTGGTTCAATAGAATTCAATTTTGATTGATCTTTTAAAATAAATTCAACAAGTTTTCGAATATCTTTTCGTGATGATCGAATTGGTAATGTTTGTGCATGTTCAAATGAAAAAATAAGACCACTATCAAAATTATTAAACATATGTATACGAAATTGTTGTTTAGCATTGAGAAATGATGGATCATGAAAGAATTCAAAGATTAAACATTTATCTTTGAATGATAATAACGATCGAAGATATTGATTTATATGTGAACAAAGATCTATGAGTTGAGTTTTTTGATCGAATAAATTAAAAATTGATGAACTAAAAAATCGATCAAATGTTTCAATAATTGAAATTATTCGTTGAACAAATAAAAGACGTTCATATGTATCACTAAATGATGTTTGACCTATAAAATGATCTAATAATTCACTTAATTCATGACATAATGATTCAAATGATGAAGATTCATTTGTTCGAAATTGTTGAATAAAATTTGAAATACTCATTGAACGTTGTAGTTCTGAACGAGGTGTTATTTGTTTATTTTGAATTAATTCAAATAAAGTTTTCGATAAATCAAATTGAATATCCTTTTCATTGATTAATATTTGTTTTAATTGAATTAGATATGCATCAGTTGGTGTCATTAGTAGAAGAATATCATCAATAAATAATGTTAGAAGATCACAAGTTAATTTATTTAATTGATTATCATTAGCAAGTAATTGAATTATAGTTAGAATTAATTCAACAAGAAATTGTTCAAATTGAATAAAATGTGAACGAATCAATTGTGTTTGTTGAAACCAAATTGGTTGTTTTTGATCAAATTGATCTGTTGCTGTTGAATAGATTGTTGATGTTGAACAAAGTTGAAGATTTTTAATTGTTTCTTGTAATCGATTAAGATAAAATTGATATTCTAATGGATTTTGTAATGATGAACAATAAGATCTCAATAAAGACCAATAACAAGCATCAACTGGATTGATATTTTGTTTGATTAAATATTTTAAAGTACGTATACATTGTTCAAGAAGACGATAAGTAACAAGAAAATCACTTGGATAAGTTAAATGACCATCTTTAACATATTGTTTAACATTAAGATGCATTAAAATTAATAAATGTGTCAATTGTTTTCCAGCTGGTATTGTTGCTAATTGAATTGATATTAATTCAAATAAATCACTTTTTGTTGGATCATTTTCATTTGTTATATTCCATTGATCAATTGGTGGTAAACAAATACGAATAACACGATTAAGAAATGCTGATGATAATTTATTTGAATAGATTCGATTAAGATTAGCTGTTGTAAAAAGACGAAAATTTGGATGAATTCCATTTGATTGTGTTAAAATTTGTCCATTTGAATTTTCATATAATGATAACATTGGATTATCTTCTGTTAAAGAATTTAATCGTTCAAGTACTTCAGCTGGTGCACTATTGATATTATCAAGAAGAACCCACCAACCTTCACGAATAGCTTGAACAAATTCTGATTCAACAAATATAAAACCAATATCTTGTTTTACATTCAAACGAGCATATTGCAATTTACTAACATAATAATCAGCTTGACGTACATAACATGAAATAAGTACTTTAATTTCATTAGACATTTGAGAAATTTTTGTCAATACTGTTAACAATTTTATTGTTTCATCAAGAGCTTCGATTTCATATGGAATCATTTCATATCGACTTGTACCTATCATAATTGTTCGTTTTTGAAGAATTATTTTGAATTGATTGAATACATGTTCATTACTTGCTTTTGATAAGAGTGGCATAATGATAAGAAAAAGCATTTTAATAATTTGTTTAAACATTGTATCGATTTTATTGAATAAAGGATCATTATGTTCATGATCATTATTTGGTCGCCAAGAACCAATAAGATCTGTTGTTTCGAAATTCTCATGTAATGGAATAATGATGAGACGATGACGTGTCAAACGAGCAAGTTCCATAACAAGTGATGATTTTCGAGAACAAATATCACCTTCAAGAAGTATAGCTCGTTTTGATTGACATGCAGCTGCAAGTAATTCTAATTGACGAATAGTTTTTTTTGTATGAATAAGTCCAGTATGAATTGGTGATGGTTCTTCTCTTCCAGTTCCAACATAAATTGAACCGATACGTACAACAGTTGCTACACTTGTATCAATTGAACAATCATTTTCTCGTTTACTCAAAGCTGCATTGATTGGAAATTTTGAATTAATTAATTCACAAGCTTGAACAAAATCATTTTGATCTTGAAATTGACATGCATAAGCAACTTGAGCAAATTTACGAATTGATAAAAATCGAGCATCGGATGTGTCCATAGTTGGATTCAGTTCTTCTGTTGTCTTATTTTCTTGATTTTCATCATCATTCGTATTCATATATTGATAATGAAAGAGTTGACTATCGATTGAACCACGAAATATATCTCGAAATTTGGATAAATCACGTAAATTGAGTTCATATGGTCCACCTGTTCGTCCAAGTATACCTTGTCGTACAAGTACTTTGAGTGATGTATGTGTTTGAAATAAGGCATCAAGTTGATCCATATTAATATTTTTTTCTTCTAGATCATGAACAAATAAACGATTGAGAATAATACGTAATTCTTTTTCGGAATAATCATCAAGTTGAACAATAGTAAATAGATTACTGATTGAACGAGGCAATTTACTTCGACCACCACCGATTGTCGATGGATTCATTGTAGCAAATAGAAGAACATTTTTCATATCAACTATTTCACCTGTTGTTGGTACAGTGAAGTGTGTTGTACCTCGATAAAATAAAGGTGTAAGACCTTCGAGTACTTCAGGTGCAGCTAAATTGAGTTCATCGAAAAGTATCCATTTTTGAGCTTTGATTGCTGATAAAACTCGACCTTCTTGCCATTGAAAAATACGTGTTCCATTGACAAATCGAGGAATAATACAACCAATTAATTGATCGAGTGATGTATTTGCTGACAAATTGATTCGTTCACATTGTTTATTGAGTAATGAACAGACTTGTGTAACTACTTGAGTTTTTCCAATACCTGGTGGACCTTCGAGTAATAATGGTGTTCGAGATGAAGTTGCTGCAAATATACGTGCAATTTGATTGATTAATGTTGGTGTTGGAACACAATAGAAACGTTGACAGAGTTCTTTTAATTGTTTTGTTTGATTCTGTTCATCGATTTGTTCAGTAGAATATCGAACACCAGTATAATTTAATGCTACATATCCATTGCCGACTTTGAATGGAACCTTCAATTCTTCATTTGTTTCATTCGATGTAATCGATTCAATAGTAATTGCTCCATGTGAAGCTGTTGGAACTTTGAAAATATCATTATATTCATCATAATTATTCGTTTGCGATAAACTTTTAAGCCATTGTTCGAAAAGAAATGCATGTCTTGATAAGGGTAATTGATCAAAATAGAAGAAACGAGCACCAAGAAAGAGACGATTAACAAGAGATAGTGATGAATGATGACTAGTAATGAAATCAGTCCAACGAAACAACAATTGAATATCATTGTCAAGTTTCCATTCGGGATCATCGCGTAATTTTCGACGTAAAGAAAACATGATTTCAACAAGTGAATCAATTTGATTGGCATGTACGTTCTGTTTGTTTAGTTCTGATTTAACAAGTATTTGAAGATCTTTTTCAAGATAAGCTGGAACATAAATTTCTGTAAATCTTGAACGTGTAGCTGGACTTAATTTGAGTACTTGATGAGCTTGTTCTTGATGAACACTAGCAAAAATTTGAAATTGATTCGATAGTGTTATATCAAGTTGACCTTTTTCAGCATGACTTGTTATATCTTCAGTAAGTGCAAAAGTAGGACTTGGTTCGAGCATTGAATTCAATCGTTCAATCACTGCTTGACTCGGTAGATCGAGATCTTCAAGAAAGAGAATACCGCCTCGTTTAGCTGCCATTGTCACTGGTCCATCATTGAAGAGAAATATTGGTTTTGTACGATCGAAATTACGTGATGTTAGACGTTCCCAGACATCATTGAATTTCGATTGATAATCACGTAATGTTGCATCTTTAGCTGTGAATGAAGCATAGTTGTTTTGTTGAAGCATTTTTTTGAATTCATCACGAATTTCCTCAATAGTAGTGATTAGGTTTTCGGGAAATTCTGTTTCGTAGATTGGATTCGGATGTGTAGTAGATGGTAGAATTGACTCGGTAGTAGTTGTTGTACTCATCATGTTAGAAAAGCCATCATCAAGTATGATCGGTTGTGGTTGATCTTTGGATTCTTTCTCTGATTCTGATAGAATCTCGGGTTTTTGCACATGAACAAGCACATGAAATCCATCATCGAATTCAAAAACAGTTTCTTCTGACTGAACATCCAATCGCGACGAAGGTATTGGTTGTCTGAAACCATCATCAAAATAGTCTGTTGTTGGAGTACTGGTAGCTGTGGTTGACAAATCTTGATGATTGAAGTCTCCATTATAATTTCCAAATCCATCATCGATCATGTCATAGGACTCATCTGAGTAGACTTGTCCCATATCTGGTTGATATGAAGTATCATAGGAATCATCCGATTCATAGAAATTAGGAAATGATGTATTTATTGTTGGTTTCAATTGCGATGAAGAGGTTGATAGACTTATGGTCGATTCTATTTCTTTCTCGTTCTCAACAAGAATTTCAGTAGATGATACTGGTATGAGTATAGCTTCGGCTTGGGCACGAAATACTGTAAAATCATCATGACGATCATCTTTTTGTTGTCGATGTTCTTCATCACGTGTATAGGCTATTTCGAATTCTCGAATGGCATCAGGAAGTCGACTTATAATGATATCACGTAGATTTTTGAGAAAAATTTCATCGTTGATTGTCACTTCACCTGTTGTACTATGATGTCGACAAAGACTTAGAAATCGAAGATAAACACGCTCAACCATAGCCGGTAATCGTTTAAGTAGATCAAGAAACGAGTAAGGTTGAATTTCACCAATTAGATCACTAGCTTCTGTATCTGGTGTTAAATGTACTTTGACGAGTTCATGCGATCGATTTGAAAGTCTAGTCCATGTTTCTACAAGTAATGTCTTACATGAAGTTGGACCGATAAGCAAAATAGGTTCTTTGGAATGAACGGCTAGAGCAAGACGAACAAGTGAACGATGAAATATCTCAGGGGATGTAAGGACTAGACTATCAGTTAAACTCATCTTTGGCATATCGACGTAGAGTTCACCTTCTCGAAAACGAACTTGTCCACCTATTTCTTTAATTTCGATCTGTGGATTTGGTGACATATGAATTTTAGACCAGACCGATTGTAGATCATTTAGAAGTGTTTGTCGCGTTGTAAAATCGAATGGATATTTGGCACCCAAAAGCGAAGCACCAACAATAGGCCAGAGTTCCTTTTCAGGTGAGAACAGAGCATGTCGATGAAGCCATTTCACTAATTCACGAAATGTAATACGTGATTGAGTGCGAATAACTCTATGATAGAAATCGGCAAGTTGACAAGTTGATGCATCTGTCAAACATACAGGCTTTTGTTTTCCAATTTCATTACGTCTACGAATGATTTCTGGTAGTTCATTTTTGGGAAATTCACCGAATTGAACTTCGAGGAAACGATTTCGTAATGACACAGGCAATTGATGTCGATTAGCATATGAAGCATCATTTTGTGTTGCAAAGAATTGAAAACCAGAATTAGCCTTGATTATTTTGCCACTTGATGGAATGGTAATGGTATTTTTACCTTCAAGTAATGGAAATAACATATTCATAACTGATGGATCAGCTAAATTGAATTCATCGGCAAGAAACCACCAACCATTCTCCATAGCTCTATAGAGAGCTCCTTTCTGAAAAGTAAAACCATCATTGGTAGGTAGAAATGTACCAAGATAGTCTTGAATAGTTGTTGTATCTGTATTATTGACTCGTTCGAGTTGAATCGTTGTGTTCGAAGTATTATTCAATGTTTGAGATTTCATGTGTTTACATAAGTAGGAGATGAGTGCTGTTTTACCGACTGCTGCTGGCCCTTCAAGTAGAAGAGGAATGTTACATGCTACGGCACCTAATACTGCATTTGCGTAATTGAGTCGACTTTCAGTTAAGATATGTTCAGTACTTTCATTAATCCAATCAATGAATTTGGGTTGATGAAGTTTGACCGTCGATCGACCTTTCTCAAGTAATTCTTTGATTTGATTAGTAACTTGATTTCGAAGTTCTTCACTTTTAATTTGATTGGCAATCGTTACATGATAAGCTGTCCATAGACTGGAGATGAAATCAAGTGTTGATTTGAATCTTAACTGAAGAAGATAGGTACTGTCGAGCAATCGAATGATATTACGCAAAGTAAACCTAGGAAAATTCTTCGTATTAGATTTATAAAACGAAAGAATCGTTTGACATAATTCAATAACCAATGCATGATCGATATTAGATTCATCAGATAGAAGTGCTTTGGTAATAAGAACTAATTCTTGTGAATCATGAGTGATATCGAATGATAGATCTTCCATATGAATGACAGCAAAACGATTGTACAGTGCTGGCGAAAGTTCACTGGTCGAGCCACTCGAACTAGTTTGTGATGGATGACGAATATCTGATGGTGTCATTGTGGCAACAAGTTGATAATTTGTATGCATAGGTTGTTCATCGACATCACCTTTTTCTGTTAATATTAGCATAGGCTTCTGTTCAAGAACAGGATTGAGCCGTTCAAGTACTGATGATTCAGCCGTACCAAGATTGTCCAGAAGTGCCCATTGACCATTGATATATGCTTGAGTAACACATCCATGTTGCCAAATCAATTTCTTACCATAATTAGGATCATTTTCATCTTTGCTATCATTTGGAACAAGTTGACCAACAAGAGCTGATGGTTCAGTTTCAGGAGTGATATTCAATTGATGTACTTGTTGACCACAGAACCAAGCCAATGTCAATAAAAGTTCTGATTTACCACATCCCTCAGCTCCCGTAATTAAAATCGGTTGTTTAATGTTCATATTGAAACATACTTGTTTGATTGTTGACAATACACGATCAGTGAGCACATAGGGCATTTCTGGTCGCATGAAAACATCATCAGATGCAATATTTTGTGTCAAATCAGAATCATTGAAGATTTGATTGAAACAATTACGAATTGTTTCTTGTGCTCGACTATGACGAAAGCGACTTTGATACATCTTACAACCATGAAGTATAAAATCTTTTTGTTGTCCAAGAAGATTTAAGCGAGCTGCTGAGATAAGCCAATCCCAAAGCCAAGAACGATCTATACGATAGATACCATGCAAGCGAATAAATTCATTCGTCATTAATGCTTTATGAATGGTCGCATGTATTTTGAGAGCTATATTCCAGATATTTTGATCATAATCGATTGTTTCAAGATTAGCTGTAGTAAATGTCGATGTCCATTCTTTTCTTGCATCATCGTCAATATCTAATTCTAATCGAACAGGATACCGAACATTATCAAAGTAGACATAATTCTGATTATGATCAATAGTCATTTCGATATTCTGTAGAGCTGGACGTCCCCAACCACCTTTACCATCGTCAGTTAGAATATTTTCGATTAGAATACGACCTGCTGCACGGTATCGTGCACCATAGATACACCATGCACTGAAACTGAGAAAAGAGAGACGAGACGTTATATCATGAGACCACGAGGTATTCTGTTTTTGCCAGCAGATAAGTAACTCAACCCACTTGAGAAGTTCACGAATTGAAATTTCAGCATAGGGACCAGTTTCGACATATGGCTGTGTAGGATCATTCAGAACTTTCTTTATATTAGTATTGAAATGCGATACTAGAAGTTCAGCCAAAACTTCTGCTTGATCAGGTATAGAAGATGATAGTCGTTGTTGAACGATTTCACACCATTCATGATCGGGTAATTCTTTGAAGATGAGTGGACGAAAACGACTTAGAAATGATGGAGATAGCTTTTCTCGTTTGCCTTTGAAAAAGCCTGTATTGGGATTTTGTGTAGCGAATAATCGAAAATCTGGATGCATTCGATGTACGACAACCGATTGTTGAGCAGAACTTGCATTACGAATGATCAGTTGACGTGTATCAAGAGCTGATTCGATAGCTTGAAGTACAGTATCTTGAGCCAGATTGAGTTCATCAAAGAGTATCCAATAACCGTGAGTAAATGCGGTAGTAAATGGTCCATCGACAAATTGTAAACGTGTTGTTTGAGATTGTTCATCGAGTACTAGCGCCACTTTACCGAGTAGATCATCGATTGTAACACGTGATGACATATTATATCGTATGAGAGTATGTCCTGATTGATGAGCTGCCTCCATGACACTGGCACTCTTACCAACACCCGTACTGCCTTCGAGTAAAATTGGAATGGGATCATCGAGTACTTCAAGTACTTTCGCGACATTCTCACATGCTGTATCAGTAAGAACAAGTCGATCTTGTTTTTTTTTATCATTGACGACTGATGCACTAGAACGTGTGTATGACAAATGAGAACGAAGAATTTGATCGATTTTGTTCGGTTGAGCTTTGTTCAAATTTTCTAGCAGTTTATGAGCCTTGAGAAAATCTTCATGTCGTACACGAACAACATCCGATGTGTTTGATTGTTCACTACTGAAGAATAATGTTTGTTGTTGTTGTTGTTGGGTGCCAGTAAATAATTCACTATCATTGTCTGTGGTTGATTCATTTTGAATATTGTCCGTCAATACAGAACGTTCGTTTGACGACAAATCCAAGATTTCAGCAAGTAATATAATACCAGCTTTTTTTCAATTGACCCGTACGACCTAATAGACCCATAATATCAGGTATGAATGATGAAAGAAGTGAAATCATTTTAGTACGTGATCGAACCTTGATAATTTCTTTACTGAGACTAAGTAAATGAGATGAACTTGGACTATTATCATTATCGGTTGTTTTATCGACACTTTCAAATAAAAGTTTCATAAGTCGTTCTGCTATCGAATTTGTATCGATTGTATTCGTTTCATCATTGTTTTCAATCGAAGATATAAATAAAATGATGTAAGCAAAAGGACTATGACTTTCAAAATTGATCGATATCAATGTAGAAGAATAGTCATCGAGAAAGAATTGAGCAATGTCCGTTGTATGTTTATTATATTTTGAATAGCCAATATCGAGTAGTAATTCAACAAGTCGAATGATAGTCGATGGTAGAGTAATCAATTGTAACCACGATTGAATAACTCGATGAAGATCATTCGATCGAAAGAGATATTTTTGTGTATGAATACTTTTAGCTAATGATTCTAGAATGGTTAATAAGATAGAAATATATTCTTGAGCTAGATCAAATTGAATACAACTGAGAACTTGTTGAATTTGTGTTTCATTGGCATGTTGTACATAAGTTGTAAGTGTGGTCGTAGGACAAACAGAATGTTCGATGAGTTGAAAACAAAATGCATTGAGCGGATGAATTATCAAACGATCGAACCATAGCTGAAGTAGATTATGTTCGGTAAACATACTCATATATTTCAAAATCGACAATAGAACAAAATGATGGTTTGCTTTATTATCAATTTCATCGTTATCATCCATGACAAAATCAACATACCATATCAACATATTCAGATTAATTTTTTTAATCGCACCAGTTAACACTGCTTTGTAATAAATTGGAAGTAAATCATGAAGAATTAAGAAGAAACAAAGATGACCACGTACATTGTTTACAGGTGTATTTGCACAAATACGTTCAGTTATTTGTTCAACGAGTCGATTCGAATCACTTGTCTTATTATTAATAAGTGTTCGTACGAGTTGAACAATTCGATAACGAACCGATTCAAGTAGATCATTATCGATCATTGATGGCCAAATCTCAAATAAATGATCGACAATAAATGTATACAGTTGATTTTCATAGCCTGTCATATCGACATCGTGTAAACGATCGAATAAATATTCACTAATAGTTTTGTCAAAATAATCAAATGTTTTTATATGACGATAAAGAAGTTGCCAAGCTGAAAAGACATGATCAACTTTGAATAAACTTGTTTGTATGGTAGTAAGTAAACTCATCAATTGTTCTTTTCCATTACAGGCACTCAATGCTCGATGAACTAAACGATCGATACGTTCACGAGCATTTACTACACCATCAGTACAAACATCTTCACGATCATCTGTCCATCGTACTGTAATGGGTTGATTTGATAAATAAGCTGTTTGACCTGGAGCATCATTGCGTGCACGTGGATCTTGACTTGTCACTTTTTCGATTAATAATGGATCAAAATAGAGTCGCCAGAGTGATTCGAAATGAGCCGGTTCAATGAGATAACGTTGCATATCAATAGCATTGCTATCATTGTAGTTAAGACATGCAGTGAGTAATTCAATCAATGCGTTCATTTCTTTTCCAGTACATCGCGTAAATTTAAATAGACGAATCAGATGAAGTAGAGTCAATGGTTTTCGAGTATCATCTCGTCGACTAATAAATAACACAATAGAACGATCAACAAATTAAATTAAATATTTGAAAATATATCGATTTCCATGTCTGATATTTATACTGTCAATATTCAAAAGATTTCCATATATTTTTTTCAAGCTTAATTAATTGAATCAATCTCTTGAATAATTTCAAATGAGAAAACTCACCCTTTAGAGAAAGAAAAATATCGATAATTCATTTCCATATCTTGTATATTATATTTATTTATTTTTCGTCGTATTTTGTCATCTTTGAGCTTTAATAATATCTCACACATCTTAATGGAACAAGAACTACAGAATTTTACAGATTGTTTCTCTATTATTTCGAATTTGTCACAATAGTTTCCATGAAATATTATTTCTATATTTAATAATTATCATTTCCTTTGACTTTTTCAAGATTTCATAAAACGAATTCAAATAAATACGAGAACTACTGCTACGTATCAGATTGAAGTTTTAGTTATCCTGAATAATGCCAAAAGTAAAATGTTGAAAACAAAAAATAGAGAATCAAAATGTGGGTATTAGAATATAGGTGAGAGAATTTCTCGGTCCATGCACTATCGTGTTTAACAATTTGTATCTTTCGACATTTTTATTTTCGATCAAATTCAAGTTTACTGAAGTTTTGTTCTTCATCACATAGGAAAATATACTACGTCATTTATCATTTAAAAACGAATGCTGAGAATGTCAATTTCAAACAATGAAAATCTATCTACATATACTAGATGAATCCATATGATAAACTATCTATTACAGCATATTATAAATTTCTAAGTATTGTATAAGAAAGAACGATATGTTCTTGGTGGAGTATTTGCTTAAATAGCACTCACCTCGGAATGAGTCTACCCTCGATTTGTTGCATGACAATAATGCGTCGTTCACGAATTAATTCGAGTAAACCTTTGGGTGGTGCTTCACTTGGTTTTACTGTTAGCCACCATTGCATGAGTTTGGCCATCTTGATAGCCAAAAGCTAAACAATCAAAAAATGTCACAATTATTCATCATTTTTAGATTAGAGCGAAAGTTATCAGGTTGAATCAAAAATAGAAAAATTAATATTTCTACAACATCTTATTGCATATGGACATTTGATCTTTTTCATCTTTTCATTGATTACAGCTTTTATTCAAAAAAGATTTAAATAAGATTCGAGATTATTACATGTTATACTTCTAAACTATCTTGCAAAAGGAGATCATTGATCAAAATACGTAGAAAAAGTTACCACCAGCATACTCTTGGGGACTCAGATGTGAAATACGATAGCATTGCTCGCATTGTAAATAGGAAATAACTTTCAAGACAAACTCTTTCATTCTGTGGATAGATACTTTATTTTTTTTTGTTATTTGACTAACTGCTTCAATAATCATATGAACGAATAACAACAAAGAATTTTATTTCTACGAGTGGCATTAAAATAAAAAAAAAGAAATATAGTGATATAAGATACGAGCTGTATTATCAAGGAATAAATTATTTTATTCGCTAGACAGTATAAATCCTTAAGAGTGATGGCTATATGAGATCTACTAGTGTAGCTTATGATAGATGTATTTGACATACTTCGAAACTCAACGACATTCCTATGTTTCCAGTTCTTCGCTGTGATTTATTTTATGCTTGATTCTGTTGACTTTACTCTGTTTGATCTCAATATAGAATATGTATATCGGATTTTTTTAAACAATTACTTTTTGTCATCAAATAATTATTCAAAAGATTCATCACATAAATCATTGATCAACTTCATACCTGTGATCCGTGATCAAGTGCTCGTGTGCCGAATGGATAGAAGATGAAACGAAGAATATCTCCAGCTACGTCCATAGTAGGCAATCGATGTACATCGTCAACAAGACGATCGATCAACACTTGAACAGGCATTGTCTCGCCTTGACGATCGAGCGCATTTGTCAATGCAATCTTTAGTTGATTGCATGTTTCACCGACGTTGATCATCGATGATGTTGTGCGTTGAGCCACGATTAAATAAAAAAAAATTCAATTTTATCTATGACAATTGAATGTATATCTAGAAACAAAAATACACATCAGAATAATCTTGTCATATGCAACTGTTCTGTTGAACACATAAATCAAATAAAGGCTGACATGTTTTCATTATAAAGACTGATAAAATGAAGAAAAGTTAAATCTATCATGGAAGATATCTACTTAGGACATACTAAAAGTAGTGGCGTCATTATCTTATTTCCTTAATAAAAAGCTTGAATAAATTTTCTTTTTCTATGTAGTGATAGAGAAAATGATGCTTTATTTTTCTGGGCTATTTGATCACTCTTCATCTAAGTTCATAATAATAAAATTTCGATAAGAATTGTTTTTATGTAAAACTTCACTAATATGTGTAGCAGATTAAATGGCCACGCTTTGCATTTCAGTTTTCAATCACTTAATAGGTTATATTAAAAAAATAAAATATATTATAAGGTGCAACTTGAAAAGCTCTACAATTTTTAAACAACAGTTCACTTTATATATGAAATAAGAAAAAAGGCGTTACTGTTTGTCTAAAAAAAAATAATTTTTTTGAGGCAGCGAAAATTAGTCGCACAGAATTTTGCCTTTTTTGACAACAAGAAGTACAACATTAAAATAAGCTTTACTTTGTATATTGTATAACTCTTCACGCTGCATCTTGTGGTATATTTTATTTTTTAAGGCAACCTATTAAATGATTGAAAATCAAAATGCAAAAAATGCAAAGCGTGACCATTTAATCTGCTTCATGTATTAATGAAGTTTTACACAAAAACAGTTCTTATCGAAATTTTATTATTAGGAACTTAGATGAAGAGTGATCAAATAGCACAGAAAAATAAAGCATCATTTTCTCTGTTACTACATAAAAAAAGAAAATTTATTCAAGTTCTCTATTAAGGAAATAAGATAATGACACCACTACTTTTGGTATGCTTTAAGTACTAGTATATAAAATACTACTAAATTAAGTCACCTGTATTTTTTCTGTTTTTCACTCCAACTTATATTACCATATGAAGAACGATAGGAAAGCAAAAGAGAACACAATGAAACAAAAATGGTGAAGTGAGAGAATTGAATAGTAGACGCAGTGACTAAGCAACCGGTTTCTTTAATGAGGTCGAAGAATCTAGACGAATTTTGACCACATGTTGTTTCATCGTTGAGTAGACAAAGAATAGATAGATGACTGCTTTAATTATTGACATATTTATGTTTCCATGCAACAAACGTCATATACAACTCTTTCGTGAATAATCATCTACCAAACCGTAATTACTCAGAAAATTGAAAACTAACAATAAATGTCATGGTTTTCATGAAGTTTATACAGAAAAAAATGCGAAAAAAAAGTATTTCTGTTGATGAAACGGACATAAAAAAAAGTTGATCAATTTCAAATTCATCGATTAAAAATAACATTTTAACCCAGTAAATACAATAAATTTTATTTTTAATCAAAGTAATAGAAATAAAGTGATGAAAATATCTGTTCTATTTCATTAACTTGAAATAGATCATTTTGTTGATCCGTTTAATAATTTCAATGCGATTTTTTTTGTAGATTTTTTGAAGCATCTTAGGGAAGGGTATGAATGTGGATATGGGCGTGAACATGAGTGTTGTTCATCACTTAAATCACACAGCCATATTCACACCCACACAACACTTGTTTTATTTTTTTCTAAAAATAGAGACAAAAGACTTTGGTCCAATATGACTGGTTAATAGAAAAAACTCCAAGGTAATCGAGTCTCAGTATATTTTTCTTCTATTTCGAAAATAGCACCATGATAACAATCACTTAAATCTAATATTATATGTTAGGTTTGTTAATTAACACTTAACATTAAGGGCGCCGTTTTGTCTTTACTTTACATGGTAAAATAAAGAGATTTAACCGGATGGAGTATAGTATTTAACTTTATTTTATCCAGTTAATTAAAGTTAAATACTTCACTTTATTTGATCAAGACAAACTAAATATGAAGTGCCATCTATATTTTAATGCTAAAAGCTAAGCGTAAAGTCACACACTTACTTAACTTAATTAGACTGCATTACAAAAAAAAACATCCATCCCTCATCATTGCAGCAATCATATATCGTTTTACATCGGCTCTTTAATCACAATTTGTAATATCCACAGTAATGCTTACGAGCAACAGCGAAAATTCGTATGCCTATGGTAGTACATTTAGCTATAAAAAAAAAACGAAACAGAATAGGAAAAAAAACATTACCGTCGCAACCCATGGTAGAGCATAAATATGTACAACGATACACACAATTTTCTTTCCTCTTTCTTTTTATATTTGTTTGGATCAATTTATTTATTTTTTTATTGCAGATAAAGAAAAGTAAAAATACTGTCTCCTAGTGTACTCATTATACTCAACTAGCCAGTCAGACAAGACCTTTGAAAAAACGCGTTAAGGTTCTGTTATAATGCTGTTTAAACGAAATATTATCGTTAAAACGGCGTTATTACACAATTCTGAAACTAGTTAAAACATGTTACCCTATCTTAACCTGTTAAAACGTGTAATTTTTCAGAAATTTACGCGTATTTCTGTTGGTGTCGCTATCGACTTGACAAGTTTAAACGCGTCCACAGGACTAAATATACTTAGGGCAATACAAAAGTAGTGTCATTAGGGTCTTATTATCTTATGGTAAGGGAATCTTTTTTCTTTTTTTTATGAATAGATAGAGCATCTTTCACTCTATCTTTCTATGCTATTTGATCGACCTTCACCCAATATTGAAATAAAAAAACTTTGATAAGAACAGCTTTTGTTGGAAGCTGGCTGGTGGTATTACATTACATTATCATCCTTCCCTAGAGAATATACTGAGTTAAGGGTACTCGAAAAAGTACCCTGTTACCAGTATGTCACAGGAACTTTTGGGTACCAAAGTACTTATAGGTACTTTGGCAGGTATCCTGCTACAAAATGAATAGTAATTGGGTATTTGAAGATACTGATCAGGTACTCAATTAGGTACTGTTGTACAGTATTTCTAGGTACCCTGCTACCAAAATTTCAGTATATTCAGGATCGAACCTGACCTTTCAGTTTTTGCATTTTTTTCTCTCAAAGCGATTTATTACATTTTTTTCGATTTTATTATATTTAATTTTTTCAATTCCGAAAACTCAATAGGTCAAATGTTGAGATCTGACCGAACTTGTGTTGGTCGAGTATCCATGAGACCACCTCAGGATAGTCTGCTCTTAATCTACGATCAAGGTCGGAATGTTCTCAATTAAGAAATAGTCAAGAAATAGTGAAGAAATAACCTAAAAAAAATTAATATGAAAACAGATTAATTTCTTCTGTTTTGCTCAGTTGTTTATATGGAGCCGTGCGCGAAAAAGAAAACGGTGAATGAACAGTCGCTACACAGAACGCAACAAATGTAGGGTACCCTGTAGAGTTTTCCTCAGTAAAATTACAGATGCGGGTATCCATACTAGTACTTGCTCAGTGAGTGTACTTTTATGGGTACCCTGAACTCAGTACTTTCTCTAGGGACAGTAATGTCATTTTTAAAGAAACTTATTATATTTGTTTCTCTGGAACGAAGTGGCAATGAGACGAACTCTTTTGGGATTTTTCTCTACGCTATGAGCCTTACCAATAAGAAAAATATGAGCTCATACGGAGAATATCAGTTGATGATGTTTCCTCGTCAGTACTTTTTCTAGAAATTGATCACATTTCTGGAATATTAATATATTTGAATAGAGCATCATTTTTTTGAATTTCAACGAAAATAAAACTTTATTTTTCAAAACATTTATTCGTATATCAATAAACTACCGCGAAGATAGTGAGTAAAGTTACAGTCAATCAAAACAAACAAAATTACTCAGATCTTTAAAATTTGTTTTCTGGTTCTCAATAATGTCTCCATTATCAATATTGAATATGACAAAATAACTTATATTTTCATCTGTTGTGCTCCATAGTGTCATCCATAAACGTTTATTTATATTGATTGCATACGTTGTTGACCAGAAATATTTTTCGAACGGAATTTCAGCTTTACCAATACGATCAAATTTAATTTCCTGTTGTTCTGTGATGATGATTTGAGCTAAAAACCAGACGTTTGGTGTTGATCGCGAATAAACTAAAGCAATTAGACGATCACCAATAGAATCATAGTCGATCGCATAAATTGTATAATCTATTGGTATTTCAATATTAACGTCTAGTCCTCCTGTATCAATATTGATACCATAGAGTATCGAATCAACAACATTATAATACAATCGACGTTTTGATGCGTAAGCCATAACAACACTAAATGCACCAGCTGGATATATTCCAATAGTTTTCATAAAACCTGTTGTCTGATTAATTTTTGCTACTTCTAAACTTAATCCGGCACCTAAACTTTCTCTGATACCAAGAATGTTATCATCATCATTTGCCACTGCTATGTGAAAAAAAGCTCCAGAATCGTGTTTTTCAATTAATGTTAAATTAAGTTCGATCGATTTGGTTTGTATATCAATAATTAGTAGAAAGAAATGGGGTACACCTGAACTATCGAAAGTATTATACGTGCTAATATATTTTCGGTTGTTGATTTTTGCTGAAGCTGCTGAACTTTCAAATACTGATCTGCCTAAGTTCCAAACGCGATGGTAAGATGATGCATTATAGATTTCAATAAACTGTGTTTCTAAAGATGATTGATCTATTGCATAGAGTTGACATGGAAAAGTTGACACGAAAGAAATCATCGATGATAATAATATCATGATAGCATTGGTCATAGAACAAAAACATTTTTTATTCATCTTGAACGAGATTAAAAAAAATTGTAGCGAAGTATTTTCATCGCAAGGTAGGTGCTTTATAGGAATTAGAAAGTTTCTATTAGTCTGATGACTTTTCTTAAGTTCAACGTGAATATAATTGGCATTTTCCTAACGAGAAGACTAAATCGAAGCATCGTTTTGAAACGTTATTTAACTTTCTTTTTTTTTCGCGTATGAACACGATTTCACTTTTTTGTCACTATTGATTTATACACTACGTCTTGCTATTTCGAAAAAGAAATACCCGAGTGCCATTGTACTCTTCATACAAGAGAGGAAACGTTTCCTGAACACTTCTAATATGTGTCCCTCATTTTGGTGATGGAACACTTGAAAGGTATCAAACATGATAAAATTGCAAAAGAATACGATTTCAATAGTGTATTATCAAACCTGTAAAGCACAACAGTTTCACGACCATTTTTATAGCACAATAGAGTACTAGAATGTGAGTGACATGTGAGTCTTCGTTGTTTGTGAGAAGAAACAAATAGCAGTTATTGCACAAGATAGATGCAAGATATATGTGCATGATGTATGAAAAAAAAATTTAATGATGAGAAATGAGAACACTTGTGTCATTAAACCAGCTCTTTCTTTTGAGAAACGATCATGTTGTTTCGAACTTTTCACTGAAAGATAACAGAAAATCGAATATAGTAGTAAATAGAAAGAAATGGTGTGGTGTGGGTGTGGGCGACACTGAAGAATAGGAACGCTCACACCCACATCCACCCTTATTGTGTTTATGTTAGGTAAAACTGAAAATTTTTCATTATTGGAAAGTTAAACATCCCTCAAAACCTGCACAATAAAGCGGCTACTGTGCAGGTCTAGGTGATTGTAAGGGTGTGGGTTCTAATCTTCCTTTTACTCACATCCACATCCACACCCTTAACACTGAGTGCTTATTGATCAATTGAACAATTTTTTTCTTAGGATTTATAAGGAATAAAAAGTGAAACAAATCAGTCTCTGTTTACTATGAAAAGTACTCATATTCAACTCAATGTTTTCAAGTCTTTTGCGATAAACTCGATGTCTGATACTTTCATATCTACACTATTATACTGCAATGCTTATTCAATTTCCGTTGATTCGTCGAGTACGTTTTTAGTTTCTTTCTATATGCATCTCACTATGATGCATAATTAATTCCAGTACAAAAATTATCATTACAAGTAAGATAATGGATTGATCTAATTATTAAATTTTATGTTAATTGTTCACATCTCAGCACAGTCTGTACTATGGGTGTGAGTGTAGTTGAAGAGAAGACCGATAGACCACTCTCACACCCGTATGAAAATGTTACGAAACAATTCGTTTTGACTTGTTCAAGATATTAAAAAGGGAAAAATATTTATATTTCTTTTTGCTCAGATCGATGTGTCATTTCGATCTCTTCTTTAACTTGGTTTTTCATCGTGAGGAAATACCAATGAGAATCGATGAATGAATCGTTCCTTACATCGTTCAGACGGGACAACAACAACTATAGTTTCAACGGTCAATCTAGATTAAAGATCTCAAAAAAAAACAAAAAAAACGAAAGACAATAGTTCACAATCTTTCCTTGTCAATACTGTAAATTGTCGATAGGGAAGCATACTGTTTTTCGAATTTCTCACCGAGACTCGGTCTTTGACCTTTTCTCCAACTCTTTCCATGTGACATCTGACAAAAAAATTAATGATCTATATTGCAATTGATAATTGATTTTCCGGAATCATCAGAAACAGCAACAATAAAATCTAGAAATACTATAATTCCTATCTTACACATATCATTAGTTCAGTATTGCGAATTCCAATTCGTGCTATGACGTTATTCATTACTATACATGATAAACTCAAGTAGAATCAACCTGTTATACAGTATAGATTAGTTTGTTGGTTTATTTGGATCAATTTTTCGATAGAATGTTCCCTACTATCGCATTGGATTCAAGTAAGTTGATAATCTCGACTAAATTCTTTGAACATCGAGAACCATATGTTCAGCCGAATCTTTGAGCTCGAACTAGCACAATTAATCATTTTAAAGAGAGAATTGACACCACTTTCTCTTGCTTGTCAACGCACACCCACAGTTATCGTATGAAGTGAGACTGTCAAAAAGGCTCAGACTAGACGACCACCGATCCATAATATATAACTGCAATTTTAAATGATTCTACTTAAGAAGAACGATTCTAAATAAAAGTTTCCAGTTGCTTTGGCATGAGGCGTGGTATATGGATAAAGAGAAAATCTACACTATCTCCTTCAAGGATCGTGATATTTCATCTTGTTGCACCTTTCAATTTTCTAAGAATTGTGTTGAAAACTTTTTTAGTCAATGCACAAGATGCGCATGCAGCAACTGTTAGAAGATGAATCTATTATCAGTAGAAAGACTTACACATCTTGTTGCTTTTTTTGTGTGCTGATCACAGGCATGTTGTGCGCTCTATTGCTAGTAGAATCATTATTATTTATGCTTTATCGTCTCATTAAATTGTGGATACTCCACCTATGCCATATGTGCAATGACTTTTGAAAATACAGGATTCCAGGACAATACATACTGATAATTGGCGATTTATTAGAGAGTTGTTAAGCTTTCCATGTCGATGATCCTTATTCTTATGATAAAATGATGACGACCAAATTTGGTGACTATTATCATACGTCATTCAGTCCTAGGGCTTGGCTCAGTATCAGTGATTCATCATTAATCGAAGACGTCGTAAAAACAAATGTATGTGCCTACTACAGGGTTGCACTCGAACAATCAACTCTTGAAGCATTGCTTAGTTATAAAAATATCTTATTGGCTGGAGACAACAATCATACTCGACATCGACGCCTAGTTGCTCCTGTGTTTCAACATCAAAATATCAATTCTATGATTTCTCTTATGATGACAGATCTTACATTTGATATTGTAATTAGATGTATATTTGGAACGAAAATAATAGGAAACCAACACGTTCATGAGTTCATCTCTCGAAGTATTACAATAGTAATGGAGGAATTAGAAAAGTGGATGTTCAATATTGTTGCCATTACTCCGTTCATCAATCAATTGCCACTGCATGACAAACATCGTATTGATTAGTCAAAGCAAGATATCAAACATGTTGTTCAGTGCATTATTAATCAGCGAAAAGAGGATTTTACTAAATCGGTTTGTAAAGGTTTGAATATAATTTCGTTATTTTTTCTATTTCAAACTATAGGACCTGATTTACTTGATTTAATTTTATCGGTATGTGGAGATGAGAAAACTCGAAAGTTTCCGATGATGCAGTTATTTTTGGTAAGTACTTCATATGTCCCAGAATAGTATCATTGTAGAAAATAAGTTCGATTCAGATAATAATAATAATAATCGAAAGATTTTTTTTTTCAATGAAAAACATTTCTAGGAGTTCGATCGTGCTTCATGATGATGAGCTAAGTGGAATGGTGATCATTTAGACTCCCTTTTTTTGTTTCTTCAGCGCTTACAAATATATGGAACATATTTTATTGTCTATAGTACTCGCCGGACATGAGACAACATCAACTTTGATGGCTTGAACACTCTACCATCTGGCAAATAATCTCGATATGTATATCATCGATGTCAAACTGAAATCGATTCAGTATTAAGCGGCGATCACGAAACAGTAGCATCGACAACTTCTTTCTTGACTTACACGAAAGTAGTATTGAAAGAATCATTACAATTCCATCAACCTATACCCATATTACTTCGTACAGCAGTTGAAGATAATACTTGTGTAATCAAAGATAGAAAAAATATTCGTATTAGAAAAGGAACAGATGTAGCTCTCAATCTATTACATTCTCCATCAGTAAGTTAATATGCAGATTGATCAAAATGGAGCGCCTATGGTCCGGCAAACAGCCATCAATGATGAAATGGGAACTATTTTATTCGATCTGAACACCTAACTTCAATATTTTTTCTACTCAATCGATAGTTTAGTTCTGACCATGAGATTTGGATGAATATAAAAATGATAAACGATTTCATCTAGAGTCAATCTTGTCTTGTCAAAGGTTTTCTTTATAGCTTCTGTTCATAAAAGCTGACTGCAGACAAGCTCACCATTTTTTATTATCTCGGATAAAAGACAGTCACTTCAAGAGCTGAATCTCATTTTCAGTCAATAACCACTCTTTTTATCAAGTATCTTCATGCTATTTAATATTTTTCATTGTAAGATAAAAATTAATTACATGAAACAACACAACAAGTACTGAACATGAAAAGGGTAGACTAAATGCAACAGTACTATCAATTCATAATCGCATGATTTTGATCTAACCGTTCACTTTTGTGAACTTTTGTTGAAGTTTATGTGCATCATCAACATATTTTGTTTGTATGTCGCCGAGATCGATTTTTCCATCAACATCAGTATGTTCAGTGTTGGGAAAATGGCCATAGTGCTTGATAAGCCAAGTGTAACCTGTATAGATCCACGCGCCAAAAATGGCTCCGAAAGTTGGACCTAGTATCGGTACCCAAAAGAAATAGTTATGTACTTGAAATACATCATTCCAACCATAGACAAATATTCCAAAAAGACGTGGACCTAAATCACGAGCCTAAAGTGTACGGAAGAAAGATAAAGAATAACACATTGTAGATCAGTATATACATACCGGATTAAGTGCAGCTCCTGCATTTATTGAAAAAGCACAAATGAGCGTCATAACGACTATCGCAAATGCAAATGGTTTAGCTACATCCGAAATCATATGATTATATTCCTACATAGAATGATAAATCAATCATCTATTCCAAGTTACTATCTTACATATGTTACTGCCATGACAAAGATCATCAGACAACCAGTACTGACAAATTGATCTATAAATGTATTCCATTGAGGTATATCTTTGGCAGGCATTGTGAAGAAAATA